ATATATATAAAGCACACTATTTTAGTCAAGTTCATTGACATCTGTTTTGTCCTTACCATGGAGACAAATGACTCCTTTGCTGTATAATCAACAAGTCTAATGTATACGTCAATGGTACATAATTTTGAGTAAATCCAACATAAATGTTTAAAATGATTAAAAAAAAAAAGGAATAGCAATAATCCTACCAAGAAGTTTAATCTTGGACTTTAGCCAGTTTTAGATCAATCGATGAGTTAATTTCCACCGGAAAATCTATCTAAGAATCCTAGCTAATAATGGATGTCACCAAGTAATTTGTTTGGATTGAAAATTGCACGGGAAAAGACTTTTAGTTACTGTCATACTTCTTGTGATATGGTATATATAAAATTATAAGGTGATAGAGTAGCGTATTTATGGCATCTCCAAAATTTTTTTCTAAATAATTCCTCCAAAACAGTTGCCCTAGATATGTAGCGTATGTCAAAAAGAGTACTTTTCTTTAGTCAATGGTCGTCCGATTTTGCTTGTACTCCAAGGCGGTGGTAAGAATACATTGTGAAAATTCTAAGCTTATATCGTTGTGAAAATTCTACACTCCGGACGACTAGAAAGTGTTTTTTTTTTTTTTTTTTGCCCTTCAAAAATCTGATTTTTAGCTTGGAAAATTTCGAATTTAATCAAAGAAATTGCCGAGCAGTTGTTCTTGGTTCCCTACACATATATACCACAACATTATTGTCAACATTTGTTCTTGATTGCCTACATAATCCTCATCCTCTGAATTTTCAGCTAATTAATACTAGGAAATAGTGCGTGTGTTTCCATTTTCTTGTTTTGACTTCACATTTCTATAATTTTTTGACAGGTTGATCGGTTAGATTTTACAATTGGGTTAAAAACAAAAAATCCCCCTATAATATACCTAATATACAAAAAGCCCCCGTGATTTCAAAACATACAAAATGATACCTCATGTTTTGAATTAAATTGTAAATTAACAGCATTCATTAAAGTTAACAAAAATAATGGTTTCGACTGTTAAACTTACCGAATTCTGTTAAATTTACCGTTAAGTTTACCGGATTCCGTTAAGTTTAACGAATTATGTTAATTTACAATTTAATTCAAAACATGAGTTGTCATTTTGTATATTTTGAAATCACGGAAGACTTTTCTGTGTCTTAGATATACCATGGGGGGCTTTTTTATTTTTAACCCTTTATAATTTGATTTTGTTGGTTGGAAAATCAGTTTAGTTGACCACAATTATTATAAAGAGACATAAAATATTGCGCTTCCAGAGAGAAATAATTAAGTGGACTATTAGTGTTTAATTAGTACCACCCATAACTTAAGATTAGATTAAGTTTATGGAATTGAGTTCAAGATATAAGCAGTGCTAAATTTTGGTAAACCATTTACTGAAGCAGTATCAACTGACGAGTAATGGAAATGTTTTATTAAAGGAATGTATAAGATATATCGGTGCTCAAATCGATTTTAACTTTCACATGTCCTTTTATTCAAGGATAATGATTTACAATACCAACACGATGGACTGCGATATATGAATCATAATTTTGTAATTTTCTCTCTTATTTATCTTTACCTGATTTTACTCCCACGATCCTTGATTTCTATTTCAGTAAATTATAGGTTATTTAGATACGTTGTGATTTTTTTGTCGCTTTTTTGTGGCAATACTCTATATTTAATATTTTTTTTTACCTTATCACCCCTAGAAGTGTAAACGAGTCTAATCAAGTCGAATATTCTAATGATTAAATTTGTTTGATTATTTTAACAAACTTAAAATTTTGCTCAAAATGGACTTTTCTATTTGCTGAATCGAGTTTGAACAATCTTTTTATTGAGTTTAAGTATTATCGAACATAAAACACTATTTAAATTTAACTTGATTAATTAACGAATCAAGATCAAATGAACTTTTATCAAGTCAAACTCGATTTAAGTAGCAAATTACTTTGTCCATCTTTCAACTCTACCCACCCCTCGTCATACCCCTTTTTCCACAAACTGTCAATTATAATATTAGAGTCCTAAACCTGACAACGAGAGGAAGATTCGTCCTCTTTATTCAGACTCCGTTTGGATTAGCTGTTTTTGGGGTTGTTTTTAAAAAACAACACTGTAGCATTTCGTTTTTGAAATACAAGTCCGTTTGGATTAGTTGTTTTTGGGGTTGTTTTTCAAAAACTATATGAAAAACTTTTACTGTAAATATTTTTTGGATTATTTTTAGAGGTATTTTTAAAACATATTTTTTGAGTATTTTTATAATTTATAATTTTTATATTTTTATATTTATATACATTTATGCATTTATAATACATTTATAAATTTATATAAAAATATATAAATGTATTATATTATATATAATACATAATATAAATATATTTATAAATGTATATTATTATAAATGTATAAATTATAAATGAATATTATATAAGTGTATAAATTATAAATTATAAATTATAATTTTTACATTTTTATATAAATATATATTTATGCATTTATAATACATTTATAAATATTTATAAATAAATATATTTATATATTTATATAAAAATATATAAATGCATTATCTTATATATAATACATAATATAAATATATTTATAAATGTATAAGTGTATATTATTATAAATGAATATTATATAAATGTATAAATTAATATATTATAAATATATATTAAGATTATGTATAAATGTATTAATATAATTAATATAAATGTATAAATGTATTAATATTATGTATAAATGTAAAATTAATATTATGTATATTAATATAAATGTATAAATGTATTATATTATATATAATACATAATATAAATATATATTATAAATATACATTAATATATATATTATGTATAAATGTACATTTATATCAATGTATAATATATATTATATATATAATTTATATAATATATAATATTTATATAAATATATAAAAATCTATATAAATATTTTTTAAATAAAATAAATTATTTATAATATGTATAAATAAATATATTAATATTTAATATATATAATTTTCAATTTGTATAATATACATTATATTGTATATGTATAATATAATATACATAATATAATATATTATACATAATATACATTATTACATTATTACATAATATATTATACATAATATACATTTATACATTATTACATATTATGTATATTATATATTATACATAACATTATTATACATTATTATACACAATAATGTACATAATAATATTATACATTAATAATGTATGTATTATAATATAATGTACATAATATGTTATGTATAAATATTTATACATTTATGTATACAATATTACATATTATGTATATTATATTATATTATGTATAATATTAATGTATATAAATATTTATATAATATATTATATATAAATATATAATTTTCAATTTTCAATTTGTATTAATATAATATATATATATATATAATATACATAATTGAAATATACATATGGAGTTGTTTTTGATATAATGTTTGGATATGGTGTTTTTTGAGTTGTTTTCGAAATACACATTTACTGTAGTATTTGGAATGTGAAAAACAGTTTTTCAAAATAGAGAAAAAAACAAGGAATCCAAACGGAGTGTCAGTTGACACACATTCACTACAAAAACTATCCAATTACAAGACTTTATAAAAGCGTTCGACTCTAAAGGCGTGATACTTGTTTGGAAAGGGATTTTTCATCAAAAAATCTCTATATTTTTCGTGAACATATTTTTGAATCACATTTTTATCTTACACATATCAAAATCGGTACAATATATTTTTTATAAAAACTCCAAAAAATGGCAATCAAAACATTATAGTTCTTGCATTATGAAATTAAGGGCATTACCACGCTTTTGAAATAAAGCACTGTCACGCCTTTTGCCTGACTCCTAAATTCCTAATTACCCAACTTCAGAAAAACAAGAGGTTTTTCTTCCAAAAAAAAAAAAAGGTCTTTTGGCTGAAAGACGACGTCGTTGGACGATTTCATTCATCACAGGTTCAAATTTGTTATTTTCAAAATTCCGGGATCCCGCCACTATAAATATCCCCCACAACGCGAAATCTTTTCAAACTTCATTTTCCCTAAATTGATTCCGGAGAGAGAGAGAGAGGGGAGAAGAGAGGGAGAGAGATGAGGACGCGATCGACTAAGAGGAAGACATCGGCGGTGAACCTATTGGCATCGCCGTCGCCGAAGACAGCAGAGGCGACGACGCCAGGAAGCCCTATGATGAAATCGCCGAGTGAGTCGCCGAAAGAATTCGAGTTCAGCTTCAACACAACCAGGCTGGCGTCATCACCATTAATGAAGAAGAAGAGCAACAGCAGTGGCGGTGTAGGAGGAGCATCATCGGCTTCGATGTTCATGCAGCGTACCGGAGGAGGGCCAGGAGGATTCTCACCCTCGCCGCTCAGAGGTATCAACTCCATTTCGGATCTGAAGGGGCTAGCTTCGTCTGGGTTGGATTCTATCAAACGTCAGCTGGAGCGATCGCAGTCAGAAATTCTTAAGGACATTGAAGCTTCACAATCTCGTCTCCAGAAACGATTTAAGGTCTCTTTCTGTATTTATGTACGCGTTTTAGTTCATATTCAACGAGTTATGAACTTAATTACTCTAATTAGTACTGTATGGACTGCATTTTATCTAATTTCGTTGGTGATACCAAATTTCAGCTTAATATTCTGTTTTGTGTACCTAAATTTCATGAATTTTGAAGCTATGGAGTACTCTGATATTTTTCTTTTGTACGTCTATTCGGTTCTTTGATACAACTATGAGTTGCTATGGTTTTGGATGTGTTTTGCTATAATCTTTATTTTATTTATCTTTATGGTTTTGTGATTTTTTTGACAGAAATTAATTCAAATCGTCTGTCTATGAAGAGTGAAGACACATACAGAAAAATGATATGTGCAGACATAGAAGTTTTGCTAGGATTTTCTTATCCTTGAAGTTAATTGAATAATTATACTGGAAAAAAATAATGATACAATCTAATTGAGGGTATGATGGGTCATGTGCGTGTATATACTTATGATCGGATAAGATAAAATAACAATTATTGTATGGTACAAGTATTTTTTTTTTGCTTCTCAAATTGCATGTATACTGTCAACTAAAATTCTCAAAGGATGTGTGCTTCGTGGTCTGAATGTTTACATATAGATTGTTTTTATCTATCTTAGTTGTTATTCTCCATCAATCTGCTTGTTTAAATGGAATTAGTGTGAATTTTCAAAATTCCGTTCAGGTTGTTCTTACCTTGTGATATTTCAACAACTCATGGTTAGATTTTAACATGCACACCCATGCTTTGGCACTTGCGATGCCGGCTCTTTCAACCATTGTGATAACACTAGGGCCCAGTTTTTGCAGATACTTTTTCTTCAATAGTTAAATAAGGCGTTCTTCATGTGTAATACTGCAAAGACTGTACCCAATCACTTTAGAATTACCATAATTTTCTGCTTGATATATATATATATATATATATATATATATATATATATATATATATATATATATATATATATATATTTTGCTAGTAATACTCTTGTATTTTCCTCTTAAAAGCTGCTGCACTTTTTTGACTGTTCGATTAGAAGTCGTAGGTGTTGGATATACTATACCTGTGAAAATGGTTATTTTTGTGGCACTGGCTTTGTTACCATTCATAAACTGTTGCATACCGTGACTGCATTGCAATAGATGTCTTAGACATTGGTTCTACATTACTTTGTAAAGTTTGATTAGTCAATATATGTACAAAGTTCCCATAGCCATATGAGACATCATATTGAGCATGTCATGGAAGATCCCTACTGTGAGATAGTTGCTCCTCTTGAGGTTTAGTTCACTTCTTGTTTGTGCATGGTATTGTACCCTTAAAATATGAAATGAAGAGTTTCTGTTGATTGTGCATTACATGAGATGGTCAACACACATCATATTGCATTGCTGGTTGAGAAATATAGACTCTCTGTTAAAAAATGAACTATCATTGTAATATTGTCTGAAATTATGGAAAGCTCACTCTCATTGATACGAGCACATGGTTCATTTCTTTCACCCTTTATTTCTCTTCTTCTATTTTTTTCAATAATTAGGCTTTCATCTATTCGCAAGAACTAAAGTGCAATGCCCCGGGGCCACAAGCTCAAGTTTAGCTTTCAGTACAGAAGTACTTAATTGTTAAAATTGGTTGTATTACTAAGTTACACAAGTCGACTTCAGCCTTTAAATTTTTGAACTGTATAGATCAAGATTTAGATTTTATAAGGGATTGCATTGCAATGTGTTTTTAAAAAGGTTGCACAGAAATGTGAGGAAAGGGTTCACTTAACTGACACTAAGCCATGCAGCAGAACTTGACATCACAAGATGTGGACTTACCTCCATGTCATCTTGGCATCAGCATCTAGAATCCCAACAAAGTCTTTATGCTTCTTTTCTCTTAAGATTCTTAAATTTGTTCTAGTACATTTTCTTTCCAAATCTCCTCAGTAGCTGTTATTGTATAAAGTCTAAGCGCAGTTGATTTTTTCTGTCACAATATACTAGCTGAGATTATGATGCTTTAGTTGCTAGTATTGTATTGCACTGCAATTATGGGTAATACTTGCAAATCTTTGTGAATCAATATCTCAGTGCACCTTTGCTCTGCTTCACTTCTTGTGCCATGATGACAGATTCAATCTCAAGCATGCCAGCAAGTGATGGACGAAGCAGAGAGAGAAAACAAGAAAATGTCTGATCGTATCACTGAAACTCGGGAAGCAATGAAGGTAGGAGTCATGACTATCATGTCACTATAATCACCCCATTATCATTCTCTAACTCTGCTGTCTTGATGGACTTTCAGGCTTCATACAATGAATTCATGATTGAAGCACAGTCCAGTGCATCACGTTGTGAGTTTCTTAATTTTTTTCAAAATGTTTGTTCCATACCTCAAATTTACTTCAGCATGGTTTATAGCTGCTGTTCTTCATACCGGCTCACCCAAATTAAGGAATAACCTTGTATAGGGCATAAGCAACAACCCATGTCTACATATGTGACATAATTCTTCCTGCCTAACTTTCTCAGCCCATGAACTGTTTCTTTTCTTGGTTTGTCCCAAATTGCAGTGTGCAAAACTTCCATTCCCGAAATTTCTCAGTCCTTTGAGAAATCCATCAACTCTCTCAGAAGCCGCTATGGGATTTCCTCAACTTCAGCTTTGTAGACTTACTGAGTTTCTAGGTGAGTGTATTACTAAAGATTTACTGTCCTGTGAATCATATTTTCTATGGTCAGCTTTGGCGTTTAATTTATACATCTACATGAAAAGTGCATGTCTTGGTACATAGTCTTATATGCTTATTTGTGTATGTAAAGCTGGATTCAGAGTTTCTCTTTCTGGAAAGTGACAATTCCAGCAGGAGACATTTACTCAGTTTACTAGCAACTTGTTTTAGAGGTAAATCTTGTACTGGCTTTCGGAAAAAGAAATAACTGTGGAAATTTGGAGTAGCGTTGACGCAAGGCAAACTCATAAATCTTGGACAGGATAGTTGATAATATTGAAGGATTGGCACACAAACATTTTGCGCACTGTTAACCCTCGTTTATATTTACTTTTATGCCACTCAATGTTGATCTTTGCCTTGGGTTATAAAAACTGCATTGTATCACACTTTAAGTAGCAAATCACCCAAATTTTGGTTGTGATAACTTCTGGTGTCATATGGAAATACTGAAAATTCAGGATGACAGAATACACTCTCAGCATTGAATTTAGAGGGCTTCTTAAATATGATGAGGTGCACGCTTGGTTTCTTTCATCCGTCATTGTCCATCATCTTTTGCTTTGTGCCCCATTAGACTAATCTTTTAGATGCTATGTCTATTCTATGCCATCCAAACACTAGACAACACTTGTGCTTGAATTGTGTTTACAGTTCTTAAACATTAATGTTGCAATTTATTATTTTGATTTCTGGACTGAATTTCCACTCCCTGCCCTTCCCTTTCCCTCAAAGTAAGAAGAAAAACGAAACAGAATTCTATACATATGAACAATCCTCCTGCTATGGAATCTTTATGTTTTTTTCCCCTTTCTGCAGAGAAGTTGCGGATGGTATGAAGAGAAGCTGCTGGGGGTGTCTTATTGTAATATGATTTCTTTCTTAGCTTGTAAATTTACATCGTCTGCATAAATCTGGCTAGCTACATAAATAGAGAGGATACAAAAAGGGTAAACTTGTCTTCAAAAATTCATAAGCTACATTAGTGCTTCTTCCCACTTATTTGGTACCATCGCTTACTTTTCCCTTGTTCAGCTCCTGAACTTTGATTAATGCGTAATCCATACTGTAAAAAATTTGCAACTTCTTGGTCCTGCCGATTATCCCTACAATTTAAATGTTAATACTGCTCATGATTGCCCAATAGTGAGCCTAAAATGTATTGTATGAACTTTATAAAGAAGTTGAGGTTGAGAAGTGAATTTTAGTTTATTTGTGCATTATGACAATTTTATCTTTCTTTGAAGATGCTAAAGAATGGATTTCAAAATGTGCAAGACTACAGCCTTTGCCCACTCTCCTCCTCGTGTACGAGACATGAAAATGATGGTGCTCAGTGATGGGTTATTTTCCATTTGTTTTTCGTTTATTATTATTATTATTATTATTTTAGAAAAATTATTACCATTTCCATAAAGTCTCCTGAGTTCAAAAGCTGATCAAACTTGTCATCCCGTATAACTTTTGTCAGAAATTGTTATGCGAGAAAACTGGTCAAACTGATTCAGACATCGGTGACATGCAAATCCCATCAGGAATAGCTGTTCCCTGTTTTATGGTAAATTCAGCAGGTTCTTTTCTTTTACTTAATTTTTTTTCGGGTAGTATAGTCCTTTTCGTACGTGTAAACAGTAAAACGAATCAGATAAGCTTTTTGCCTCGAAGAATCTGAAGAAAGATATCCCCGACCAACCATTTGAGCCCTTGTAACTGAACCGAAGCAGAGAAAGCAGTGATGGAAACCTTTTCCTATCCAAGACCACATCCCTTATCCTCACTCTCTTCAACTTCACTAAGCTCATCAAAACACCTTCTTCAACTCCCAATCTTAACACCAACATATAGGAACCAATCTCGTCAACTACAATTTACCTCAATCTCCGCAACTCTAAAAGCTCCAAGAGGCTTCGGACCATCCCCAAAAAAGGCCAAGAAGACCAAGACACCAAAGAAAGACTATGATGAAGAGGAAGATGATGATGATGATGATGATGAAGAGGAAGAAGATCGAGTAGAAGGAGTTATACCAGAGATAGTCACCAACAGAATGATGAGCAGAATGGGATTTTCAGTGGGTGTCCCTTTGTTTATAGGGCTATTGTTCTTCCCATTCTTTTACTACCTGAAAGTTGGGTTGAAGATAGATGTGCCCACTTGGATACCCTTTATTGTATCATTCATCTTCTTTGGGACAGCCCTTTTGGGGGTTAGCTATGGGATTGTGTCATCCAGTTGGGATCCTTTGAGAGAAGGGTCATTCTTGGGTTGGAATGAAGCTCAGAAGAATTGGCCTGTGTTCTGGCAGTCAATTTGGGGTGGTGGATCAAAGAAGAAGAAGTAGAACTTGTACAATCTGCTGTTATTGCATAATCATTCATCAACAATTAATGCCCCTTTTCTGGGAATGACTTGCCTAAATTTTGATGATTGCCTTCTCTACATTTCTTTAGTTCATATACTCCACAACACAAGACCCCATTTATTTTCCCCTACATATAATGGCTTTGCCGTTTGTAGTTGTTGCCATTGATTTCCGTTTTCTTTTCTTATTTTACTTCTTGAAGTATCGCCTGGATGAGAAATGTTCTGGCTGTTATTGATAGTAAATAAGTAGCTGAGAAGGGACATCAAATTATTGAAAGCAAAGGTCTAATCTCCATACCAGATTTAAAATGACTGCATCCTTGTGCTTCTTAATTATCTGTTCTCAAATTCATGTCCTTTTACACCTATTTAATGCTGCCATTCTGGGAATATTATTAAAAAAAAAAAGGAAGAAACCTTTCTTCATGCTATCTTCAGTTTATAAAAGTGGACAAGGGCTAGTGCAGTTGTGATTTGATCCAGTTTTGTGTCGTGTTTATTACATTATTTGGTATACAATCAAATTATCTTATTATATTTGTTAAAAAATTGATATATACATATATAATATTTGATATATATTCAGTACAATAATCGTTATGTAACATTGTTAATATAGAATTAATCTTTCCTTCACTAAATGTATACATTGTCAGTGTTGGATGAATGACAACTATATAAAATTTGAATTTGAAATTCAATTTTTGCATATGTGTCATGGATCCAACGGTGATAGTACACGTACTGTCAGTATAGGAAAGATTTACTCTGTTATATATCAAAATTATGATATGTACAGTAATTAAATACAATCAGACAACCTTACCTGCATCCAGTCCACATTGTCGACGAAAGAGGAATTATTCAAAACTATGACTTAGACACCTGCGGTGTCATTGTTGAAACAAAATAATTTGAATGGCTCAACGATCTGGGGTTACCATTTTTCAGCAATGGGATCGGCAAAAGTATGAATCTGGCAGCGTTAAATAAGGCGGACAACCTGCTTTAAAAATCTCTAAAACTTCTTGCTGTTAAGGAACATTTTGCAGTTCCAGGCACAGCCCATCCGTCTTTCAGAAGGGTTGGGCCTGCTATGTGAGGTCCACATCCAGATTTCGCAATCTCCTCCTCTTTCCCAGTTCCCTCTCCAAACACATAAATTAAAGTGGATTATGCGGAGGTTTTCTCCTTTATTATTAGAGTAAATTTTATGTAAATTACCAGTGTATATATAATCATGATCGGATACATGATATATATATAATTTAAATTTTAAATTCAAATTCAGATCAGTTGTCATTTATTTAGCCATAATGGTGTATATACAGTATCAGTGTACAATAGATTAATACTCATTTATTATTATTGTTACTTTCAAATGATAATATTAAAAAAATTTTGTATCTTAGGTAGGAAAGGACCCCCAAAAAAACGGAAGAAGAAAACTTCAATGCTTGGCATCCATAAAGCAAATAAATGTTCAATTTCTCGCATGCAACAATTTTATGGACTCTTTTTATGTTTACATGGACCAAAATTCTAGTCTATGATACGTATGGTTATACTATGATTCATAACATAATTCGAATTTTCCAATTCTGTATGAAGTAAACGAATAGGACAATTACGTAAATTAACTCTTTCTTTCTTTTTTTGTTTTCCCTTCGTTGGCTGGTGTTATTATTTTGTTCCTAAATCCTAGGAGAGAAATGAAAATTGCATGTTTTTATAACATAGTGATTTCTGAAGACAAAACGAAGTGATTGGAGGGAGGTTGTTTTGAACAAGCAGTTTTACAGTTGGTCTCTTCTTTTAACACTATTAATCAGTGATTTTTTTTTCAAACAATATACAAATCTACAAAAAAGAAGCAAGTAATCAAAGTGTTCTAACATTGGAAATAGTGAAAGTCTTAGGATCGAGATTTGATCTACTTTACGCAGATGATTGATCGCTGAATATCTTTATAATCACTTTACAAACTGCATGGCATTGCTTACCCGAACCAACATTCCTAACGTTGGAACAAAGTTTAAGCTCGACACAATGCTTTTCTTTTCATGCCTCCCAACCTTTGCACATTACTTTATACTACATTATTTTGTGGCTTTGCCTGTGTGGTAAGGTACCCCCAACACCCTAACTAGTTGAGTTGCTCCCCTTCTTTACTCTTCTTAATTTTGTGTTTTTGTAATGGAAGATTTAAGGTTATCCCCCTAGCAACAAAAAATATTCATACATTTAAAGAGTAGTAAAATAAACTTTTATTAACATAGATATTAAAGGGACTTGAAATCAAGTCCTTTTATTTCAGGGCTCTCACCCTTTTTCTTTTTTTTTTTCTTTTTTTTTTTGGTACAAATTTAAGTGCTTTCGGGAATGTTCTTTAGCTAAATAAGACTTTGACATATTGTTATTTGGTATGTTTCACATAAATAGACACTAAGTAAGTTTTTCTTGCTTATACTAGACTAAGACGCTGTTTGATAATCCAATTCAGCACTTAATTTTAATAAATTCAGATGTTAACATATTCAAACGCGTTTTGATGATCAAAACTAGAACATCTGATTTCATTAAATGGCATTGAATTTTTTAGACAAAATTTGCTCCAAAAAATAAGTAATAAACTATGTCACTTTTATCACTTAATGTGATATAGACTCAAATGTATCAAATTTAACAATCACTAATTTAATGAAGTCAGATTTCAATTTTCAGATTTTAGTTTCATCAAACGTAGCCTAAGTAATGAAAATTAACAAAAATGACAATCTAATTTTGCATCAGAAATTGTCATCCGATTTTGTGTAATGGATACCACAGGAACAACAAAGGGACAGGACAGATTAACATATTTAGTAATGCCAAACTTGTTGCTAGGTTTTGTATGCTCCCATGTAGCATGGCTTATGCTCATATAATTGGCCAATAAGTAGGCTAATCAACAATAGGCTTTTTAGCCTTTGAATTAAAGGTTTCCGTTCAAAATCTGGTAGCATTATGGTCCCATTTAGTCGTAGCATTTGTACGATTAACATAATTACTAATGTAATCCACCTAGCAATGCACAAAAGGGGTGAAGCAATACAAAAGTTTTCATTCAAAGCCTATAGAGATTTTGAACTTTACTTCCAAATTGCAAGAGATAGGATTGACAGGTGAGCTTGAAGAGGGGTGCATGGCTTTGGACCTTGACTATGCTTTTCTTGCTTAAGAAGATCTCATGGGGAACCTCTTTAGGGCTGGGGCGGATAAAAGCTTCCACACTCATAGCAAACCACGTGGCAAAAACCCATTTGACCACAGACAGAGAGAGAGAGTGAACTAGAGACAGAAATTGAAGTTATAGAGGAGAGAGAAGGTTGGAATTATTTTTTGCTTCTTGTCTCGTTATTCCAAGCATTTTTTCTTTGCTTAAAGAGAGGTTAGCCCCCATTGGAATAAAGCTAAGGGACAGACAACAAAACTGGTTAAAGCTAAAGCACACAATTGCCCACATTGCCAAAGCAGCAAAATTGCAACAACAGCCAATGCTGACAACACCCGCAGCAGTAGGTAAAACAGTAAACAATTCTGCGTGAAATTTGGTCATCTCTGCCCAAGGAAACCCAAACAAAATCTCAGTACAGTGAAGGGTCACAGCCGGCAGGTCAGTTTGAATCTAACGTTATGTAGGAACCAGTAGTCGATGGTGGATTTTACCTGTAAAGTCTTGAACGTCAGATTTTGGATTACTTAGTTGTGAGGCAAGACAGAATCAGACATTAAAATATTGGAGGATAACATCATCAGTTGTTAGGTTATTAACCATCATATGATATCCACTGGTCATTATCACTTTTGTCGAGGACGACAATTTTTAATCAACTAAGGACGTTTGTGCTGTCATTGGATATTCATTAATCAATTGGGTTCTTGTCTAAATTAAAACGCCTGTCAATCTTAACAAGAAACGGTCAGAAGTTACATTCAGCAATTATGTAAAATGGGGTGCTGACGATTGGCCGAGAAGAGGGTCGGTCTGCAGTAGTGTACGGAGGTTAAGAATCATCATCATCATCATCATCAAATGCATGGTTATTGCAATCTTTTATGAAAACACACAAGGATGATTAACTTCTTCCTGTAACACTTTTATAAGAAATACGTTTGTGAGATAAAAATATGATTAGAATTTCTCAGAAATCACGATTAATTTATTACCATGAGATCGCCCCATCAGAAATGAATGCAGAATCCTATTTGGTTATTTGCCTTGATGTCTGAGTCATGGAGGAGATGGGAAAAGATCAATGGTAGATTCCAATTAGGATTATGTCTGGGTACTCGACACCAGTATTTCTTGTTTAAAGCTTTAGCCTTTCTTAAGCAAGTTGAAAAGACCCTAGAATCTCACAGGAACCTTATATATAGATGTAAGCCTCTACTAGCTCCTCTCAGAATTCATGCAGCATCACGTACATTTCTTCTACTTTAAACTACTATTTTATTCCCTCATTTTGCAGAAGATTCTGTTTTGAATCCAAGTCAAAGCTCAGAAGTGGGAAATGAGAATTTTAGCGTATTGGAAAGTGCAAGCCCACGGTGGGAAAAGAACAAACGACACCAATACTATTCTTGGCATCAACTGGAAGGAACAGTCTTTGGTTTTTGGCTCCTTTTACGTGGAATTTCCAACATTTTTGGGGCATACAAAGGAGGATTAGGAGCATAAATGTCTTGTACAAATAAGTCGTGGTTTCCCTGGGGAAAAGCCAATAGGTAAATAAACTGCATGAAATAGTTACGTGTGTTTGATGTCAACAATTACAAGAAACAGACCTGAATCTTAGTTGTAAATTAAGCTGCATAATCTTTGTCATAGGGTTAGAGTTGTTCAAAAGATATTTTTTGCATCAAGTCATTTATATTAACTTCTTCTCTGATATTTTTTCTACAAATTTTGCTAAGGCCTGAAAAAAAAACATCAAAACGCTGATTCAATGCTTAGAATGGCATTTTCCTAGTACGACTAAGTGTTAGAATATTAAATCTAAAATTTGATTTAAGGAATGTATGTTCTTGGGACATCCGCCCATTGCATAAGATTTGTCTAGTATGTTTTATCCCTCTACGCGATTATTGGCGGGATATTGCACGGGACGAAATTTATTCAGAGCGAATTCTCGAATAACGATTATGGGTTCCTTATCAACAAAATAATAATAATAAAAGAATGCGTGTATAAAAAAGGTTGTAGGATTGCTTGCTGAATATGTTTTTCAAGATTTGTGCATCTGAACTCTTTACAGTTCTGCTACCAAATGAAATAGCAACCACGCACTAGGCACACTTGAATCTTTGTGCCATGGCCTTGTAGACATAACATTTTGGTATTTCAGAAGTTAACTTATCCTCGAGTGGTTTACTCTGCCAATTTGTAAGTTCTACATACGCAAGAATATATGACTGCAAAATTCGCCTTGAATAAGTTTCATCTTCAAGAAAGTATATGAATCAAGTGGAAATACTTTTCGCAAAAACAAAAAAATTGACAAACGATTCAAAATGAAAATCTTGTAGTATATATCTTTTCATGTTAATTTCTATGTATGATACCTTGTTGGCACAAATCAAAAGTAATTTGGAAAATACAACCTCATGTATCCTAGTATCACTTTTTTATATAATGTAAATTTGATGCATTTAGAGTTTATCTAAGACTTATATACACTGTCAGTGCATTATTTTTATAATTATAAGATGCAAATGAAGGTTTAAAATTATCATAAAACTACACATATAACTATGAGTTCCTTCAACCATTTTCTTTTTTTTTTAAACATTTTTTCTAACGATGAGTTGCATAATTTGCAATTTAACCTTCCTCCTTAACTAAATTCATACAGATTAAATCCATTGACCTATATCATAAATCAAGGAACCATGTTGTCAACATTTTTCCTTTTTTTTTTTTTTTTTGGATTGTATGCTTAAATGCTCCTTTCTTTTTGAGACAACCATGAAATTATAAGAGCTAGAACTTTTAATATGGAGTATTATGTTTACATAATACTAGATTCAAAGCGCCTAATAGGTGGACAACCACATTTAAGTTTGGTGTGGGAGGAGTGGAATATGGAGGGATCAAGGATACAACTATGCAAGTATTATCAAGAAAAAGAAGAAAGATTTTTTCTCAAGGACACTCATTAGTATATTTAGTTTAAAATTTTAGTTACTATTTCAAATACATATTCACAATTATTCCTTCTTCTTGTATGTAGACATTTTCTTGATTTAACTTTGCTTTTCTAGAAGAACTCATATATAGCCAAAATGAAAAGAACATTTAAAAATCAAATAGTACCAAATATTTTCTTTTGTTTAACTCTTGCAACTACTAAAAACAACATAGCTATATAGGAACAACTAATTAAAATTGATCACAAGTACTATTGGCTGGCTCAATTTGTAAACAACTTATCCAACTCACAAGATTTATTACTAACATTTTGTTAGTGCCTTGGGCACAAGATTTTGTGTATTGCTACTAATATTTTTCACGAAATTAAAACTAATTAATCAGAATCAGCAGAAACTACTTTTGGTAGGTTGGAGATTCCAATTTTTTTTTTTGTGTATTGTAAAATATACATCTAGCTACAAAATCAAACAAAAAAAATCAATGAAACTGATTTCCAAAATGAGAATACAAAATCAAGTGGAATAATTGAACCAGAACAACCCTAAAACCACAATCAACAACTATTAACATCCAATTGTGTTTCTTTTCATTTCTAAAATTAAGAATGAAAGTTATATAAGGGCTAGTATATAGTAGATTTTATTTTACCATAAAAATTGCACATTTACCACTTTCATTGACATTTAGACACTTTTGATTTAATCTACCTTTCCCAATAATGTTTTAACATTTGACAATCCATTGACAAGTGTTCATTCATTAGACATTTGCCTAAGCATTGACCTTAAAAAAAAATTCAAAATGAGCTTCTCAAATTAAATTAAATTCCCATTTCCTAAGTATGACTAAGAACCCCAGAAAGCAAAGAGAAAATCATGATTTGATCTTTCATGATCCTTACAGAATCATTTCCTTAAAATCAAGAAAATACTGACTATTGCACACCAAATCCAAAATTAAGCCCCATCAAATCCATCTTGACAAGAGTAAATGTGAAAATCACCCATGACAGTTCAAAGACCAATACCTTCATGCCACGTGTCAATCATCACATCCACATCAGCCCCATGCTCATATATAGGACATCACCTAGACAGGTGGGCCCGTACTGTCTACACACTTCAAGACCGTCTGTAACGTCGGCCCCACATCACAAACATTGTACGAAACAAAGTCCAACTCTTGATCCACAACGTACAACCCCTGTCGTCCAACCCCCAAACCTCCGTTAACTATAACGGCGACACTTGACGGCGTCACGTCCCTCTATAAATACCCTCCTCGCTCTCTCCCTTTATTCTCTTTCTTTGTCTCCATTCTTCTTTTGTTCCCATTTATACATTTGAAAAAAAAAAAAAAAAAAAATCCTGCGCACTGCGCAGTAGTGTATATAACGTAAAACCTGGAGCCAAGAGAGAATCCAAACTTTCCATTTTCAAGCCAAGTTTTCCGCCAGAGACTCGCCGGTGACCTGTCACCGACGATCCTCCGCATCATTTCCCAAAGATTTTGTTTTAGCTCCCGAGATTACGTCGAGAAGCAACAACCTAAATGCATAGCATATATTCATCCGTCTTCATTCATTTGATTTGATCTCATCGTTCAAATATCGGAACCATCTCTTTTTCCCTTCCCTCTCATCCCTCAAGTTTCAACGCCCAAGTATTCACAGAGTCTCCTCGGATAGATAGTTGTTTTAAGCTCGGTAAGTCTTCGAAGAAACACATAGCATGAGTTGCTTCATTCCTTCATGCATGCCATGCCATGAAGTTTTGTTTTCTTTTTTTTTTTTATAGTTTTTAAAACTTTTTTTTTAAAGTTGGATTTTGAAATGAGCATTCACGGAAACGAACTTTTAGTTTCGTTTCTCCTTCATTCAATGAATGCTGATCTCAGTTGTTGGGTGAATATTCTGTTCACCATGTCGGTTGGGGTTCACAATACCCCAACCAACATGGTGAAGAGAAGAGTGGTGGGTGAAGAGGAGTAAAAGGGGGTAGAAATCAAGGAGCAGCGAAGCAACAGCAGAGGAAGAAAGGGGAGGGGAGGGGAAAGGAAAGAAAGTAGCAGTACAAGCGTGGTCTGAAGGGATGGCATAGGAGAGTCGCTTTCAAAACGAGAAGAGTAGCCTAGGAGAAGGGTAGCAGTACGTTTTTTCTTTTTCATTCTTTTGTCTCTGTGTCCACTGACTCACCGCTTTCAAAACTCGACACACTCAGCATTCATTCATTATCACCATCATTTTTAATCCAACAACCATATTCATTTACAAGATCCCACAGAAACAGTACCACTACTACTGGTATATTAATCCACTCACACCACCACCTTATTTAAAGATATTTACCCATTTTTGTTTATTTGAGTAGCGTGTGACTGTGTGTGGATTTGAGGAGATGGGATCTTTTTTTTTTTCTGAAAGAAGTTAGCTTTTTTGAGTTTATTGAGGAATGATGATGTGAAATGAATGTCGGATAAAAGAAAAAGGGGGTGATTATTATGGCTGCTGCTGCTGTTTCTTGTTGTTGTTGTTGCTGCTGCTAAATATAATGATGATGGATCATGATCATGGATGATGATGAAATATGAATGAATGAATAAATCTGTCAGAAAATTCGGCTGTTAGGAAAGTGTGAAGGGCGAACAGGAATCCCAAAAATCTCTCTGGCTGCTATATCTTCCCTGTACAATTTCTTTATTTTGTCACCTTCTTTATTCCGTCTGGGGTTAGTCTGTACATTAAAGCACATACATAGCTGACCTGACCACTTTCCTATATTTGCATTCAATTATTGCTCTCTCCATAAGTAAAACCACCCCACTACGTAGTATTTATCACCCTTCTCTAATCCCGAGCCCTTCTCTTCATCAGTGTAATTTTTTTTTTTTTTTTTTTTTCCTTTCCCTATCAAAGATTTTGAAAAAAAAAATGCAACTTTTATCGTTTTTTGGGGAAAAAAAAAAGATACTACTTGTTTTTTTTTCGTCCAAACATGTATATATGTTCATTTTACTGTATTTGTTCTTGGACTTATCTCGTTACGTAGTTGGGTTAATGGCTACAAATTTTCTCGTTTTAGTTTTTTTGCCTGTCGAAGATTTTATCTTTTTTGGACAAAAGGGTACTCGTGTTTTTTTGTCTGAATATTTTTTTCTTCTTATCTTGTTGGACTTACTATATAGTCATTTTCCACAATGGCTGGAATATTTCTTTCTGTTTTTCTTCTTCTTTTCCTATCAAAGATTTTGAAATCCAAATTTGATCTTTATTTGGACAAGAGGGTACTTGTGTTATTTTCATTGAGGGATTGATATGTTTTTGTTGATTTTTTTTTTTTTTTGCAGATAAAAAGAAAAACAAAAAAAAAAAAAAAAAAAAAGGGTACAAGAAAAAGGACAGAATTTTGGAACAAGAGGAGGAGGAGAAGAAGGAAGAGAAGATGTTGACGTGTATTACGTGCTCCAAGCAAAGGACGGAAGATGGGGGAGAGGAAAGCGCGCGTGGGACTCCCAGTACAAAAGAAGCCGTCAAAAGCCTGACGGCGCAGGTTCTAATCCTACACCCCCTATTACTCTATTAAGTTTAGTATACTCGGCACTCCTAGTTTATTTAGGTATAGACTGGACTATAGAATAGACTAGCATTCACGTTATTGGCTAAATTGTTCTTTATTTCTTTTTGGCCAGTTTCTTTTTCTCTTTACTTCTTCTTTGTGAAAACAGACAAAGATTAGTATCTAAGACATACATCTCTTAACTGGGGTCCACTGTTTAGTAGGATCCACTTACCAACCATTGGTTTGTGTGTTCCAAAGTCTTTAGCATGGGTATCTGTATCCCTCTTTTCTTTTCTTTTTTTTCCCTGCCTGGGTTGGTTTTGGTTTTGTACTGGAAATATTAGTTTATATGGATTGTTTATTTTTGTGGGTTTTCTTGATTCTGCAAAAGGGGGAGTGAGAACTGAGAAAATTGGGTTTTTGAAGAAGATTCCCCCGCTGGAGAAAGAAATATGCTTTTGGTTTTGGTCCATATGGGATGGGAGGACCAAAAATGTGTTAGTTCACAGCTAATGAAGCTTTAAAGCTTTATGAGTGGGGCATATGGGTTGGGATTGGCCAACGACTATGACTTAATTTGATGCAGACATGGTTCACCTTGGATCATGTGTCCGATTTAATCTTGGTCCCATTCTCTTCCATCGTTGATTTTCTTTTTCTTTTTAACCTTTTTGTGGAAAGACTTTGAATGATCAAACAGTGTGCTTTGATTTTCTAATGACAGGATCATCATAGGAAATCTCAAGCTTATTGACCAGATTTAAATGGAATGTTTGAATTTAAAAGACGACTGAAGCTCTTGAGTTCAAATGAAAGCTCATATTAAAGACAGATCTTCATCTGATACTGTTTTTGTTGCTTTCATGAGTAAATCTTCATCTTACTGATTGGAGGAATTTCCAGCTTTGGATCCTCTGTTCTTTGTCGGGCTTATTTGATACGATTGAATCTTCACTGTCAGAAGATCCAATGTCGGAATTACCAATATGGCTAGATAGTTTCTTGTTAAATCTTTGGTTGCGTATGTGTTTTGCTTTTGTCTTAGCAACAGAGCTTTCTCTAGCCACTTCTGCATAGAAACCATCATACTTATACGTGAATTTAACTTGATAAATGGTAGTACTGAGAAAAGAGTGATGCAAGAACTGCTTGCTGCTTTTCCTATTCTACCACTTATAACTAATTTTTGTGGAACTGGGATTTTCACACCAGCAGGTCTGCTCTTCTCAGTTCTATTTTGTAGGGCCACCTGAGAGTTTTTTTCAGGAAAGGTCCCAACCAAGCAAAAGACTCTCACTCTGAGACTGGCATTCAGCCCCTCTAATTTATCGAGTAGTCTGTTTATGATTGAGAATCAAAGATAGCATTGGGATTGGTAACTGATAGCTCACCAGGTCTGCGAAAGCAAAGCATGACCCTTCTGATGATCGTATCTTTAAAACATGAAAGCCATCTCAGGTATTTGTGGGATTTTGGGGGGGGAGGGGCCAACTCAAATTTCACTGAAGCTCAGAACTAGAAGAGCTCCTTTTCTCTATTTTTGACAACTTAAAATGAATGATGCTCTCTTTTCTTTGTTTTTTTTTTTGGCGGGGGGGAGGAAGGGGGGAATTGTGGGGAGTGGGATGGGGAGGGATAGTTTAACGTGGTATGTCAATCTTTAACGTGGTATATTCCTAAGATGTGTTTTGGGTCAATTCATCCTTATAAAATGCGACTATGCAACGCCATAAGAACAGGGTCACTATCTCCAAGTGGGGATATTGACAAAAGACAACACGCATGTTTGATAAAGACTCGTCCAAGTTTCTATGACTTGACCCACCATTGAAATCCTGTCTACCCACAGTTTTGCAGATGGTACTCAAATGTCAAGTGCCACGAGGCCAGTTGGGTTGTGAGGAAATTAAATGCTAAATGTGACTCTACCTTGCACCATCTGCCTGTATACAGCTCCTGCTGGTCAATTCAGCTTATTTATGTACAGAAGAAGATGTGGCAAAACCATGTTAAATTGTTTGTGATGTACTTCTTCACTGATTTCATAACAGTTGGTTAAATAATTGCCAGTTTGCGGTGGGATAGAAGGAATTGGTGTATCATGTATTTTACTATAATACATGATTGCACTTGCTTCACTAATTGATGTTATTCACATTTCTGTTGTTTAAAACATGAATTTACCATCCAAGCTTGAAAAATTGTGGATGGTTCTGCAATTTTTATTACTGATGTCGGTGCAGAAGACTGCCTGTGTGAGTTCTATTATTCTTCGTGTAACTTCTGCAACCAAAAATAAAGAATCAACAGTAAGTAAAATAAAAACTATTTGACGAGTGATAATTCCTCAATAATTACTTTGAAACAAGACAAATAGTTGTGTATACAACTCCCATGTCTATCTAGTTTATTAGCACAATTTTCATGGAAGGTGATTTTGCTTAATACATGCCAATATCACATGTTTATAACTGATCTTCTTTCCCTTGTTGGTTAATAAATGAAGTTGCTTTTCTGGTTTTGTGTAATTATCACTGATTGTTATCATCATGTGTGTGCAGATTAAGGATATTGCTTTGAAAGTATCGGGTAGTAAGCAAGGCAAGCCGAGCATAAGCCCAGGTGGTTTCAGAAAAGGCAGACCATATCCAGATTTCGACACAATTTCAGAGGGAGTGCCCTACCCTTTTATGCAACCAGGAAGCTCAAATTCCACTCCAGCTTGGGATTTTACAAGAACTGGCCCTCAATCTGCTGGCCGACATGACTCAAGATTCACCGGGGCATTTGGTGGTGACAGGACTCCTGGCGGACAAGAGTCTATCTCACAGTCTGGTGATGTGGTGCTGGAAGATGAGGATGAACCAAAAGAATGGATGGCACAGGTGGAACCTGGAGTTCAAATTACTTTTGTTTCACTCCCGAATGGTGGAAATGATCTAAAGAGAATACGCTTTAGGTAATTCAAAGATACTTTCTGTTTCTTTACGTCGATTGCTTTAATATTTCACCTCCTGTGTGAATATCTTAAATGCAATGCCCAATTCATTCTTGCATTTCCAAAATATCTTTCACAAATTGGGGCTGGAAAACATGGATTACTACCAAAACATCACTGTAATGAATCTTTCAAGGTGTTGTCACAGTCCCTTTGAACAAGTCTGGTCCTTTCTTGAGGCTTGACTTGAATTCACCGAACTCCCTGTGTGGTGTGGACCTCATGTAATGAAGTCCAATCTTTAAGGTCCAACCTGGAGACATTCATTACATTGATATGTAAAGTAGACCCACCAATACTTGAGCCATTCCTAATTCACATGCATACATTATTTTTGGTCCTTGGGAAAGGCTGGTCTGACTAATCATGCTGCATGAATGAGTCCATGTCAAGTGGTTTCTAACATGATATGAGAAAACCTGGCCCTATAGGATGCCAGATGGTTCTCAAATTTCAATCCTTCGCACCTTACTTCAAATTGACGTTAGTGATAGATCATGCTCATCTTATTGCGACATTTTGATTTGAAGTCGTGAGATGTTCAACAAATGGCAAGCACAAAGGTGGTGGGGTGAAAATTATGATCGAATCATGGAACTGTATAACGTCCAAAGATTCAACCGGCAAGCTCTTAACACACCCTCAAGATCAGAAGATGGGGTAATTCACCTTCTTTTACATCTCTTAAATTGCCAACTTTCATACTTGTCATTTTCTTTTCAAACATGTTTGTATCTGTTAACTGATGTTTGGCCTGGCAAGAACGATATATTAGCTCCGTCAGGACTGAAATGTCGGCAACTATCGTGAAATCCTGAGATGGTAGTAGTGCCCACAATAAAAAAAAAAACTTTTGTTTTCATTCAAGCTGCACCATTTCTGTGCTTGTCTGTGTATTTACACCTTTAAGCTGATCAGCTTAGAAGAACTCTGGTTTTTCTCTTGGAGTATCAATTTATTCTTGACAATATCAATTAATGGACCATTTGACTGGGCAAACGAATCTGTTGAAAGACAAAACTTAGGTTTAAGTTACACCAGTTGTGCAGAACTTAGTTTCTCTCGCTGGCTTTTTGTCTCTGAAAGGTACATTATAAATTAAGTGCCTTTTTTTAACTTGTCCAACTTTTACGCAACTTTTTGACTGTCCTCAGCATGGTTGAGCCATTCTTTTGTATAAACTACTTGGATGGATCCATTAGTGGACTATATTGTCAGTTTCTGGAACTTAAGAATGAATGTTCTAAACAACAATATGAACCAAAAGTGTATTAATCTTTTAAGTTTTGCATTTCTGGGAATGCTTGTACCTATGGAAAACGGTGTCTTCATTAGACACGAGCAAATGCACTAATTTACTCGTAAATAGTAAATACCAGTTTAAGTTGCACATGACAACTGAAAACTCAGATCCTCTTGCATAACAATCCCATGCCAAATATCTCAAAAGTGATGGACGCTTCTCTCTTCTGATGCAGAGGGATTCTTCTTACTCGAGGCTTGGATCAGCTAGGGAAAGCCCAATGATGACTCCATCTGTTAACAAAGAATGGACCCCAAGAAGTTACTATAGACCTCCTGGAAACAAGGGTTATTTCCCCTCTGATCCTTCAGACCAAGGCAGCAGCCAACATTATATGGCTGGATCAAGTGCTTATGCACCAGGTGGCCCAAGGGGTGAGATGTCATCAATGGATCCATCTAGAACGACAACCTCCTCCAGGGACGAGGCTTCAGCCTCAATAAGCAATGCCAGTGACATCGAGTCTGAGTGGGTGGAGCAAGATGAACCAGGGGTATATATTACTATCAGACAATTGGCAGATGGAACCAGGGAGCTAAGGCGTGTAAGATTCAGGTAATCAAATCATCTGACTATCTGCCTACAATTGGCTAGAAATTTTGAGTAAATGCTAAAGAAAAACCAAGACTAGTTTAACAATATAAGATTCTTGTCAGCAGCTTATCAGGAGATAATATTGTATAGTGATTGTCTTCTTCTAAAATATTGGCCCCCTCTTGACTGAATTAAGTAGGATGGTACTTGAAACGAGTTCAAGCTAGGATTTATGTACAGCGCCCTAACTTCAGGTTATTCGTGTTTGCTTTTGTTCCTTCTTTCCATTTGTTGTTGCCTGGATCTTCAGGTCTGAACTATTTGACAAAATGTCCCTTGATAGCAATTTTTTCTGTGCTCTCTCTTTGCCAAATGGATTTGAATAACTGCAGTGTCAAGCTCAATAGATGATGCGTTAATTATTTCTGTAGGAAGATAGTTTTTTGGTCACTAGTTGAGAATTGCTTGATCATTAATGCTAAAGGTTAGATATGTTTGTAAATCGTCTCTCATTTCCTTGTTCAATTTTCTACAGCCGTGAGAAGTTCGGGGAAGTACATGCAAAGCTCTGGTGGGAATCCAACAGGGATAGAATACAAACTCAATACCTCTAAAGGAAGTAGGCTTCTGGATGGAGTTTACTGGGGAAAGCGAGTACTAACTAAGTTGCCTGAAATTTGAAAAGAAAACATTCCAATATTTTAGGCCGATATTCTGCCAACAAGCATCTGGAAATACCACCCCACCTGCCAGCCAAACTACAGTCAAGATAGAATGATCAAAGAGGCTCAGTCCTGGTAATGGGACAATCAGACTCTTCTCAGAATGTAGTATTGCTTACTTGAAATGGCTCCACCCCATGGACAAATGCTGTAAGCTAGCTTGGCATGCCATTTTTGTTACTATTTAGTTATCAGTGCCTACACCCTGATCTCAAATTCTTTCGAGCCTCGTCTTCCCTTAAATTTTTTACCTTTTTAACAGCTCTGTTGTGGGGATTATTTGGCTCTTGACAAAATTCCATGCTTTTGCTCTGTAAGTCAGCTTTCTAGCATGACAAGAGAAGTTGAATCAAAAGCATGTAATGCTAGAACATGCATGCTGTTCATAGTTCTTGTTTCATTCTTGATTAATTTCTGACATGAAAAATCCTTCAAGTTCTGTGTTTGATGCCCATTTGTTTGCATATTTTTCAAGCATAGCATGCCAGGATTAAATTCCAGGATTCAACAAGATCGTGGGAAACCTCAGGAACTCTTGGAGCTAATTGTTGTCACAAAGCTATATCACATTATCCAAAACCCCAGATGCCACTCTGCTTCCCATTCTACAAAAATTAAACTATTCACCTAACATATGATATTAACAGGTCATTTTACCAAATAAAAGTCACAAGCATCTTGGGTTTGGGCTCTTAATTGCATTTTATTACTAAATTGAGCAGATAATTTCGAAAATTTTCAAGTGACTCTTCAACCAACAACTCAACAATAGTTTTTCAGAAGTGTAACTTGGAATTTGGTTGAATGCTTATCTTTCTTTATATAGGCATAGTACCATTCTTAGTTGATCTGCCATAAATGCTGTGGAGATATAACTAAAGTCTTCTCAATCCTAAAGCTCAGATGGCAACATGTTTTCAGTGCTTCTTCAAGATCCTGACTTCCACATCTTTACATCTTTTCTCCAAAGCTCATTCCACATCTCAGGTGGTTTTGATATCTCTTGCTCCAAAAGTATCTGTCTATATGAACTTAATGAAAAATGTTCCAAGACAATGCAACATAACTGTTGCGACTTTAGAACGATAACAATAGAGCATCCAATCCAGAAGAGCTGAATAACATAGGGATGTTTTTGGGAATTATTAATATCATGCCCAAAAAAAAAACACACACACACATTTACATTTCAGGTCAAGGGTAGTGGACCATCTCTCATTGCCAAATTAAGAAAAGTTCTAGATTGCATCAAGTTTCTCAGCATTGCCTTCAATATGAAGAACCATAAGACTGTCAATTCTGATATAACGTACTACAGGAGGGGAATGCAGTGGCCTCTGCATTCAAATCGATCGATCTTTGGAACATCAAACACGAACTGTTTTAACATTCTGTTTAAGTTCAACTATGTGGTTTTGAGCAAGGGACAACAAATTTGGAGTCCATGCAAATCATAGCAATGACTGATCTTCAAATGTTCAAATATGGAAACTTTGATTTGGCGTATTGTCAACTTGATATTCTGCATCTGGCCAGCACAAGAACAGAAAATTCCTCTAGGTTCTCGATGCTGTTTACCGTTACCTTATTCAAGAAGTTTGAGATTGATCTCGTGCGATATTAGCATCAGATCATTGTGTCAGCCGTCAGGGACACGTCTGCAATGGGCTTTAGATTCAAGAATCAGACGAGGCATGCAGAGATCAAGCCTTTATTTTTCAGCCTTTTGCCCCTGCACACTTCGATACTAATCTAATTTGGGATGCTCTTTTGGGTGTTGGAAACGAAAGCAAATGCAGCACGATGGGTTCTGGCAATTTTGATGTGCCATGTTCAAGGGCTTGTCCTCTTTCCATGGATGTACAATAAAGCTCCGAAAGCAGATTAACGCAATTTCTGGAGGACGGAAATTGGGAGTGAGTTCTCAGTGGGCAGAATTTCAACTCTCTCTCTCTCTTATTACCTTTTCACTTCAACATAGAGCTGCATATGCTAAATGACATGCACATTCACAGAGAGAGAAGGAAAAGCGACGAGATTTGTTACTTAACAATAAGCTCACAATTGTACAATCAATAACCCATCAATAAAGGAACAGTAATATATTTCTTTATTCCAAGGTTTTGACAGAATGCAACCAGCAGAGAATGAACACACTGTACCTCAGAGGACCAAACGGCAACAAGAACTAAACACAGGACGGCATTACAAAACCAGTACTGCAGTCATAATAGTTTTGTACCATGTTCATCAAACGGACGGTTGACTCTTTATTTCAGCCCCCAAATAAGACAAGACTTAAAAAGTAAGCACACAACACCACATTATTCAGACTACTAAACACCAAAATCCATTTTTTTAGATGTCTTCATCCTGCCACTTTCCTGGTGAAAGTTCTTCCGGGAAGCATCTCTTGAGATCGTCCAAGGAACAAATCAGATTGCCCGTGCCATCCTCCAGCCTTCATGGGTGGAGGCTGCTGTGACTTTAAAGACGGTTTTCCAGATCCAATGGTCATGTTTGAAAACTTCTCAGCTGTATCAGAAACTCCACGAGTCTTCCCCATAAAGGTGGAAGCTGCAAAATATGAAGTTTATAACCACTTGGATAATAGGGAATTGCAGATCTCCCTTTTATTACCACCGAAAAAAAAAAAGAGAGAATTGCATATTAAGGAGAGCCCATTTATTGCCCAAGGTCAACATGAGAGACGACATCAATATACCCAAGCCAGACTGCCTTCACAAAAGGTTGACCATGTACCTACCTGACTACTGTATAGCATTTATACAAAAATATGCATAACCACCCCCCCCCAACACAAAACAAAACAAAACAAAAAAAAGGGACGATCATTAGCAGACAATCAATTTCAGTAATGTTACTCAAGAAACACATAAAAGTTGTTCCAGTATAGAAGACATCCACAATAACCAAGCAAAAGTCACTCAAGGCCCAAAGCCATCCATCATTAACCCAACCCAAAGGCCAAAAAAACCCAATAGCACCCCGTTCGAAGCAAAATGGAACAGAGTAGTGCTGTGGTATCCAAGGCCATTAAAATCCTCAGAAAGAACAAAAATATCTACAGAACTTCCAACCGACTCCAGAATATTCAAATGCTTCTTACGGATTGGGTTGCTTAGTAGTAATTGTGCCAACAAATCTCCCAAGAGACCACTCAAAAATACAAGCTATGCTATGAAAAGGGGGCTCACCTGGACCATTCTTAACAGGTGGTCGGTATCTTGGTGGTTGCTTCAAAGTGCTCTTAGAATATTTCTGCTCATCCTGAAGTGTGAAGCAAGGACATTATACAGGTGAGTAAACAATGTTCACTATCCCATCATTACTGTGAATGAACCCAAGCAAAGCACAGGAAAAGACAACAGCAGAAAAGGCCATTGAAAATGTGTACCTGAAACTGAAAATTCATCTCCAACTTCCTTTGTACACCTGGAAAAAATTAACTCAATTAGAAGATGTTCTACAAGACCTCTGATATGATCTGTCAGAGGTAAATATTGGCTATAATAAGCAAATCAATCTTGAAACCAACACCAAGGTTCAAATTATGTATCACATCTGCAGCTCCCAATTTCAAGTAAATGTACATATTAGACAATATTCCAGGATCCGACCTCTGACCAGATTTCCGTTAAAGCTAAACATTGACATTAAAAACAGATAACTAGGCAGCTGCATAGACCAGACCAACATCCAGGTTTGAGTAACGTTTCAAATCTGCAGATTTCAATTTCAAGGAATTAAATGGAAGAAGATCACCTTCTCACAGGACACCGCGTCTGAAACTACTAATTTCATATGGTACAACATAAACAAATTACTAGTCAGAAGCAAAGGAAGACAACTTATTAATACACTAAACAGAAATTTCATATCAAATATTCTCACCAAAAACCAATCTTTGACATGCACAAGTTACATCAGAATCACATCTAGAGATATGTCAAAAATGCACTTCATTTTGACCTCACCTCAAAATATAATCAAAATTATCAAAATACAGTAAGCATCCAGCATCAGAATAATTTTCTTTGCAGTGGTGGCAGTTCTTCAAACAGGACTTTAGAATATCATGAACTCCAATCACAAGTATAACTAAGATATTACCTGCATAGGAAGATGCATTCGACTTGACGGAGGAGAAGTTGTTTGCGGACTTCACATTTGGCAAACTGCCCGAATATCTCCTACCAGTCTTTTGCTCCACCGGCACCCTGGTTCCAGCTGCAAAATGAAGAAACACGAGGCATGTCACCCGAGAAATCCACACCAAGAAAAAGGAAAGATAATCTGAGAAGAAGACAAACCTGATGGAGGCGTTTTAGCAAGAGCAGCTTTAGTGCGCTTTTGTCTTAGCAACAGAGCTTTCTCTAGCCACTTCTGCATAGAAACCATCATACTTATACGTGAATTTAACTTGATAAATGGTAGTACTGAGAAAAGAGTGATGCAAGAACTGCTTGCTGCTTTTCCTATTCTACCACTTATAACTAATTTTTGTGGAACTGGGATTTTCACACCAGCAGGTCTGCTCTTCTCAGTTCTATTTTGTAGGGCCACCTGAGAGTTTTTTTCAGGAAAGGTCCCAACCAAGCAAAAGACTCTCACTCTGAGACTGGCATTCAGCCCCTCTAATTTATCGAGTAGTCTGTTTATGATTGAGAATCAAAGATAGCATTGGGATTGGTAACTGATAGCTCACCAGGTCTGCGAAAGCAAAGCATGACCCTTCTGATGATCGTATCTTTAAAACATGAAAGCCATCTCAGGTATTTGTGGGATTTTGGGGGGGGAGGGGCCAACTCAAATTTCACTGAAGCTCAGAACTAGAAGAGCTCCTTTTCTCTATTTTTGACAACTTAAAATGAATGATGCTCTCTTTTCTTTGTTTTTTTTTTTGGCGGGGGGGAGGAAGGGGGGAATTGTGGGGAGTGGGATGGGGAGGGATAGTTTAACGTGGTATGTCAATCTTTAACGTGGTATATTCCTAAGATGTGTTTTGGGTCAATTCATCCTTATAAAATGCGACTATGCAACGCCATAAGAACAGGGTCACTATCTCCAAGTGGGGATATTGACAAAAGACAACACGCATGTTTGATAAAGACTCGTCCAAGTTTCTATGACTTGACCCACCATTGAAATCCTGTCTACCCACAGTTTTGCAGATGGTACTCAAATGTCAAGTGCCACGAGGCCAGTTGGGTTGTGAGGAAATTAAATGCTAAATGTGACTCTACCTTGCACCATCTGCCTGTATACAGCTCCTGCTGGTCAATTCAGCTTATTTATGTACAGAAGAAGATGTGGCAAAACCATGTTAAATTGTTTGTGATGTACTTCTAAGCAGAAGCTCTACTTTGCATGCTCAATTTCCTCAGCTTCTCCATATCAATCCTCCTCGTCCCAACCCTTTTGAACTTCAAACTCTTGGATTTACTCAGCTTCGCCGGCAGCGATTTCGATGCAGTCAAGGTCTTATGATGTGCTTTTTGATAAGCTACATCATCCATGGGAGGCCCTGAAAGAGTATCCAAAACATAGTGATGGAAAACACTCTCCTTCATACGATCAAAATATGTTGCCACGTGAAATGATGAGGCCAAAACTTTTACTAGAACAATTTTGATGAGCCAAATTGTTGCCCCGATTAATACAGCCACCAAAGCTTGGAAAACTTTTTTGAGCATTTTGTTGTTTTTCTGGACTTCCATGTTGAACATAAATGTCCATGCTAGTAAAACCAGGCCTAGCCATACACAGTTTTGGAAGCTCTTTCTAAGGCCATAGACGAAATACAAGACTTTTTCCCTTAACATGAAGTTTCTTTCGATGAGAAAAACTAGGAATTTGATTAGCCATCCAGACACTAATCTGCCACTGAAAACTACCATGATCATCAAGCACCATTTCCATATCTCAAGACCCCATTTGAGTTTATTCTTGAGAGATGAAATTGTGAGAGAACATATTAAGCAAGTCAAGATAATGATAAACAATATCCATTCAACCAAAACCCTGCAATGACTCTTGATCTTCTTCTTTTTGAGCATCTTGACTTGGCCATTTCCATCTTCTTCCCCTTCTTCAAATTCTTCTTCATCTTCGGAGGTTTCTTCATCACTATCACAATCATCAATAGGAGAAGGATTTTGTCCACTTGGCTTATTCAAGGGTTCATTTTCAGTACCGGATAATTGAGATAAAGAACGATGATAGACTGGATTAAGGTTGAATTCTACTGATCTTGCTTTTGGTTTCGAAAAGCTGAGACCACGTAAGGTTTGAACTCTTGTGCGGATTGGAGAAGGGGGCTTGTTTTCTCCAATTATGTTGTCATTTTGTTCATTGATTAGCACAACATGGTCAGAGATAGGTTTTTCCATCCTTATGGTTTCTACACACTACACCTCTGTGGTTTGGTTTTGCTTGTTCTTTAACATCTTTTCATGGTAATATATATAGGAAAAGTCTATATACGTGAGTGGGATTGAGACCCCACAACCCTACATTACATTTTTTTTAAAACTCAAATTTGCATGAATGTTTACAGGATCAAAGTTCGATTTTCAGTTCCAATTGCTCAAAATTTTGCGAATATAGATATTAGAATTACATCATGTTAAACCAGCACACTACGATGAATTGTTAAATCAACATACTACATTGAATTTTAAATTTGGTAGAGCCATACAGAAATTGAACATTTCATGAACAGTAAATTTAACAGTCTTTCAAAAAAAAAAAGATTAAAAAAACTATCTCATATTTTCTAACATGTGTGCCAACTGAATCTGAATACAACCTAAAGAAAATAAGTGTGTTCTATAGACGCACCTGCAATTTTTACCATATTTTTAGATTTTTTTTAAGTGTCAATCTTCATTGCATAATCTTCTCAGAGTGGAATCACCATTCACCACCATAAACTTTTGTAATTGTATACATTTAGGAAAATACATCAGTCTAAATCCGAATAAATAATTAATCTCAGCCTCGCCTAGCTAGTAGTTTTTGTTGATGCCAAAATTGGGATTAATTGTCAAATTAGGTAATACTAGTTGATAAAATATGAGGGTTTATGTCCAGAGAAAGCTCTCAGATAACTTCTCAAGTGTGGAAATTTCCATGTAAATATGGAATGAATTCAAATTTGAAAACGAACCTCCCTTAAATTTTTGGGATAATTTCATAAACCTCCTTCAGGTTTCTAACAATTTCAGTCAGCTCCCCTTAGGTTTATATAATTACATTGACCTCCCTTGTAGCAACAAAATTACTAGAATGTCCTTCACTTAATTAGTTGATCCATAAAGAAAGATACCATTCCACTACAACCAGCAAAACATTCCCAATTGTCGTATAATCTAAAGAATAAATTTGAAACCAATAACTGAAATTATGAGGGACCGGATGATTGATGATTGGTTATTGTTGTGTCTATTTATTCAAAAAAATTTATTAGATATTCGTAAAAAAATTTAATAGATATCCATAACTGCATTTGTCGCCTAAAAAATGAAAAGCAAAAATGAAAAATGCATCTTTCTGTTTTTTATTTGCTACTATGAACAGTGTTTTTTATAATGGAAATAGGATTAGTCTCTAATGGAGATTATGGAGTAATAATGGGTTATTCTTTGGATCACAGTGGGGTTGCTTCTAGTATCCATATAGGTGGTGATGGGCTAGATTAGCTATTGTTAGTAGGTTGAGAAAGTTGCAAGTAAGCTTTTAGGTTTTTTAAATGGGGGTTATATTTGATCTCTTAATTTCTAGTGAAAGCCTTTGGGATGCCAAATGATTCTAAGGCTGCAAATATTGTTAAAATCACTTGAAATGAAAACTGAGTTATAAATAATAGTTTGCTCGATTGGTTTCGTATAGTGGCAGGTTTGTGGTGGTTTAAGAAAAAGAAAATATACATGATTAAACTAACCTTTTCTCTTTGTTGTTATGTCAATAAGGGTATATTAGGATTTTTTGAAGAAAAATGTAGTATATTGAGTCTATATAGTTACGTAAACAGTAAAAGTAGGGGAGGTATGCGTAATTTTTAAAATTTAAGGGGAGGTGATTGCAATTGTTGTAAATCTCAGGAGAGGTTTGTGAAATTATCCCTAAATTTTTTGACGAATCTTAATGGCCTCGAAGATATTTCTAAATCAAAGGCAAAAGTTTTTTTTTTTAATTTAAACCCAGAAAAAAGATTTATTTTTTACCAAACAGTTGCCTCCCACTCTTGGCCGAGAGGGTCCATCTCACTTCATGAAAACATGGGGATTTTTATTAGTAAAATACAGAAAAAGTCCACACGGTTAAGTGAACCTACAAAAAAGTTCTCTATAGTTTCAAAACATATATTATGGTATCTCATAGTTTGAATTAATTTACAAAGTAATGGAAATTGTCTGAGTTAATAGGTTTGAAATACACGCTCCTCTTTTCTGAGTATTTGTACTGGAAACAAATAAAATTTCAATTGATATACCTATTATACCCTTAGAAATGTAATGCAAATAAACCCCTATGGTTAAACAAATCTACAGAAAAAGCCCCTATGATTTTTTCTTTAGCAAACGCCTATAGTTTCAAATCATATAATTCAGTATCTCATGATTTGAACTAATATGAAAAATTGATAAAAATCATTTAAATTAACAAGTTTAAGGGTGCTTGACCTGAAAAATAATTTTTAAATCAAAATTTTAGCTGATATACTTATTGAACCCTTTAGAGTTCATAAAATTCTCAAAAACAATCCAAAACTCCTAAATACAACTCATCTTATTTCTATACATAAAATAAATAAATAAAAACTCCCAACTACAACTCACCTTATTTCTATGCACTAAATAAAAAAATTTCCAAATACAATTCACCTTATTTCTATATACAAAATAAATAAATAAAAGATCCTAAATAAACTCACCTTATTTCTATACACAAAATAAATAAATAAAAATAAAATACCACCCCCTCCACTACCAGCCCCACCTCTATCCACCGTTACTCTCCACCTTCCACCACCATCCTTCCCTTCATCGCCACCCCTCCCTCTCTTTCTTCCTTTTCCCTCCCCTACATCCCGCTGTCTCTCCACCTTCAAGGCCACTCTCCTACACCTTCTCTCGTTCCAGTGATCATGGCCAGTCATGGGAGATAGGGCAAGGGTGTGGGGAAGGTGTCACGACCAAATTGCCTATTCTCCGCATCCTCTTTCCTCCCTTCTATGATAAATTAGGTCATGGGAAGGAGGTGAGAAAGTGCAAAATAGGGCTGCAATTAATGGGAGGGAAAGGGGTGCAGGGGAGGAAAAGGAGTGAAGAGAGAGGGGGAAAAAGGAAAGGGATGGGGGTTGTGATGGTGACAAGGGTGGCGCTAGAAAGGGGTGAATGATGGTGGTAGCAATAGATAATCATACGGAGATTTTCCATAAGTTTGCATAACCATAGGAAATTTTTTCGTAGATTTGCTAATTCAGGATGATTGTTAGGTAGGCCTGTCAATCGGGCCTAATGAGCCGGGCTTTGATGAGTTCAAGCTCAGCTCATTTAATTTGAAACATTTTCGGGCTTCGGGCTATGAGTTTCGGGTTCGTAAATGTGAAGCTCATACTCAGCTCACATAATATTCGGGTTGTGAGCCTTAATCGGACTTAGCCCAAGCTCACTTATTACTCCTTAATTTTCTTAATATAATTACTATAACTATTAAGTTGTAAAACTAATTTAACATTTACAAGACTATAATATTAAAACTAAACATGAACAAATAATAGTTCTTAAAAAGTATATAAATCAAAAAAATTTTCAACAATATTTATATTTAATCCCTTTAAAATGCATGAAAAATAGTAATAAAACATGCGATCATAAACCAATACATCTTTAAAAGTTGAAACTTTTTTTTTATAATCTTGTGATTTAAATCCAAATATGCTTGATGATTTTTGTGTTTGTAGACCAAAAAAAAATAACCAATAATATGCCAATACAAAAATTTACTCAACCAATAAGAAAAATTAGAGATTTAGTTATGCATTACTAATATTGGCTCTCAAGAAAGCTCATGAAAGAGTCTTTAGATGTATTTTTGTGTTTTGTAATTTATATATATATTTAGTATTTAGTAAAAATATATTTGGATATATAATTATACATAGTATCAAAATATAAATATTATATATATAGGTAATTAAAGGGCCGGACCTATATCGGGTTTGAGCCTAATAAGGCCCAAGCTCAGCTCACATTTAATTCGGGCCTAATTTTTAGGCTCAAACTCAGACCGGCTCACTAAATGATCGGGCTCATCGGGCTTTTTGTCGGGCCGAACGAGCCGAGCTCGGGCTGGCCCAGCCCCATTGACAGTCCTATTGTTAGGTGGTCTATTTTTGCTCTTATATATAAGGGTAATTGTGTCATTTCACCTGTCTCTGTTAGTTTTGATGATTTGCATTGTTGTTTCAAAGATTTTCATTGTTGTTTCAAATCAGTGTTTGAATCACAAGGAGTCGAAATGTATGATTTGAAACTGTAAGGAACTTTTCCGTAAGTTAGCTTAACCATAGGGAGTTTTTCTATATTTTACCCCCTTTTTTTTTTAAGAAATAGTTGCAAGTATGAAGGGAAATAAATTTGCAATCTTTTATGTACGAGTTCCGACTCCTTGTAAACTCCGGTTCTACTTGTGAGCTTTGGCTATGATAAGAGCTTTTATTTTTTTTAAAAAAAACTACTAGAAATTGTTCCCCAACTACTTTATAGCCTTGCTCTCGATTGCTTTAAGTTTTACAAAATCTAATTATAGAAACCAATTATGGAGAATAATAAGAATCAACAAAAGCTACCCTTTGAATAATTATAGATTTTAGCATTTTTTTATTATTAAAAAACCAATAACCAAAATACAAAAGTAATCATGAACATCACAAAAACTAATTATCTGAAATCAGAATCTATAATCAGTTAAAATGATCAATAAAAAACAAGCCTATATTCCCAATCCTCACAAGTTAAGATTAAGAGTGGGATAACGGGTGTTTTTGGACAGTAGATTACTTGAGATAATTTTTTTAAAGAAATATTATTTGATTATTTGGATCCAAAATTATCAACCTATTGGATCTAAATGCTAAGATTTCGATCCCAAAATAAATGTAGGTCTAAATTGATCATATTGGGTAATACCATTAAATTAAAATTGCAATAATCAATCTTATTATCCTAGTAATATAAAATTTATTTTACAAATCTCACCTAGATTTATGCCACATGATCTTTATAAAGTTTTAAAAATTCTTCATCGAAATTCAAAAGTTGTTTAAGTTATTCTCTACACTTGATACGTCTATAGATCAAGCAATGTAGAAGTTTTTGTACCCCCATTGCATATGAAAATGATTCTTCAATAAGCATAAGATTCCAAAATCCAACATGAGAAAAATTAATTAAAAAATCGACAACTAATAGTTTTAGACAATTACAAAAAGAGAGAACAAGAAGCAAAAAAAAAAAAAAAAAAATCAGCTTATGGTTAGATAAAGTGGCTTACTAGAAAACAAAAACACAAATATCACAAGCCAAAACCTATGTATAAAAGGAAAAAATTATTACCATATAAAAATCCAAGGAATAAAAAATCTATTGGTGATGCCATATCTTAGATTTTATTTTTCACAACAATTCTTTTACAAAAGACCAAACTTGCCCTTTCCAAGTTCAAATGTGTTTTGTATTTAATATGGATGCTTTTTGTCATTTTAAGAAGAGTTAATAAAGAAATAAAATATGCGATGTGACAATATTGTTTGCCGAATATAAAAAAAAGTGGGGTCGCTCCAATGGTTAAAAAAAACTGTTAGTTCTTCTCTGTCAGTGGATTCACGATTCGAGTCCCGTGCTTGACATGTTGAGACTGAGAAGAATATAAGAAAAAACGAAATGACTAAAAAAGAAAAAACGAAAGCCTACAATGACAACGTGAACTGTTAAAGCCCATGCCATAGCCCTAATTTAGACCCAAACAAAGCCCATTGGTCAAACCTCCACGACCCCAAACAACATAGCGAGTGAGACAAGGATTTGCAACCGTGTGGAACAAGGATTAGGATCTGCAACCATTCTTGCTACGTAAACATATAGGGAGCGGATACCCCTGTGTCAGAAAAAATATATATGTATATATCTTCGAACTTTTTCATTCTTGAGCCTCGGTTTCCTAACTTCTTGTTTTTTTATTCTTCTTGAAAGAATTTGATACTGTATGGATTTTATACCAAATGTAATGGTTATGATGATTAAGAAATAAATAAACATTTCGGCAAATACTTTTCGAATTTTCTAAATGTTGGACGTGATGGTTGCCAAATGAATTGGCATTTAGGTTTGTTAGCAAATGTGAAGGATATGATGGTTGAAAATAAATTAACATTCCGGCAAATAATATTTGAATTTTCTAAATGTTGGACATAATGGTTGTGAAATGAATTGTCATTTAGATATATTACAATTTAATCTAACATGTTTTATGTGTTGTGTCACAAATATATATATTTTTTTGTAATGCATATTTGTACTAGGTAGACGCTAGCTAATTTTGTTTAATTTTTAAGCAAACTACGAGTGAAATTTATGAAGCGAAAAGGTGGAAGGGATGACTACAAATTATTTAAATATTTCATAAATTAAAATATTATTTATTAAATTTCTATATTTTATGTATTTTCATATCTATTTATTTTTTTTTTATAACATTCTTTATAACCGTGCATAGCACGGATTTCTAGACTAGCTAAAACAAAAGAGAGAAGAAGAAGAAAAAAAATACTCAACTTATGATTAAATGAAGGTGGCTCTACTAGACAACAAAAAACACAAATATCACAAGCCAAAACCTATATATATATATATATATATATAACTACTACCATACAAAAACCCAAGGAATAAAAAATCTGTTGATAATGCCATATCTTAGATTTTATTTTCACAACAATTCTTTTACAAAATACCAAACCTACCCTTCCCAAGTCCAAGTGTATTTTGTATTTAGAAGGGGAACTTTTTTGTCATTTTAAGAAAAGTTAACAAAGAAATAAAATATGCGATGCGGCAATATTGTTTGCCGAATGTAAAAAAGTGGGGTCAGTGCAATGGTTAAAAGAGAGTTTTTATTATCTTTTTCACTATTAGATTCACGATTCGAATCCATTATGTACTTGAAAGTTAGAGATGAGAATGTTGAAAGTTAGAAATGAAAAGGGCACGAGAAAAAGCGGGAGAATTAAAATAAAAAAATGAAAACCTAAAATGACAACGGGAAGTATTAAAGCCCAAGCCATAGGCCTAAATTCAGACCCAAAGAAAGCCATAGGCCTAAATTCAAACAGCCACGCCCCTGGAAGACAAGGTAAGTGAGACTAGGATTTACAACCGTCTCGAACAAGGATTGTGATTCGCCCGTTGTTGTTACGTAAACATATAGGGGTGGATAAATCTTCGAACTTTTTCATTCTTGTGTCTCAGTTTCCTAACTTCTTTTCGCAACAAAACAGGATGTGGATTAGAGGAAAAACCCTCGGCAGTGGTAGCTTTGGCTTTGTGTCGATAGCCAAGACTATCCCATGCAGCTTCCCGGACGATGAAGAAGATCAATTGTTCTTTGATCTTCCGCCCATTATCGCAGTCAAGTCAGCAGAGTTTTCCTGTTCTGAGTCTCTTCAGAGGGAGAGATTATTGCTTCATGAATTTCAGAACTGCCCACAAATCATCCATTGTTATGGTGCCGACGTAAGCAAAGAAGACGGTCATTTACTGTATAACATGTTGCTTGAGTTTGCCTCTGGTGGAAGCTTGGCGGATTACGTTCATGACTCTCAATATGGTTTGCTTGAGGGGGAAGTTAAACAGTTTACACGATCGGTGCTTCTGGGATTGAGTTACATTCACGCAGAGGGTTACGCGCATTGTGATATAAAGCCGGCCAATATCCTACTGGTTGATGACGAAGAGGGAAACAGAACGGCAAAGGTTTCTGATTTTGGGCTCGCAACAAAGGTTTCGAAAAGGCGGACAGGGAGGAAAAGAAAGAAGGGTAACAGGGGAACGTTGTTTTATATGGCTCCTGAGTCAGTTATGTTGGGTGAATGTGATTCTAAGGTGGACATTTGGGCACTTGGTTGTACTGTTATAGAGATGTTTACCAAGAAACCCGCCTGGGACTTTGATTTTGATCAATGTACTGATCTTGATGATTTTGATGAGTTCTTTGACCGGATTAAGAATGAAGAGGTGGAAATTCCACGTGGGTTGTCGAAGGATGCTCAGGATTTCCTGGCAAAGTGTTTGATCAAGAATCCTGGATTAAGGTGGACTGCAGATATGCTTTTGAGTCATCCGTTTGTTTCAGGTTTGGACAAAGCTCCTGTTGATCAGGAAATCTCAGAGGAATCAGCGTTTAGTACAATCGGAAGCTCTGAGGATGATGAATCAAGTGAGGACATGGATTCGATCAAGCCAATGTTGCTGCTGAAGAATCTTGCTAGACTGGATAAAGTTGCAGCAGAGAACTCTGTTTCTGACAGGAGCTTGGGTTTGAAGCCAACACTGAATGAATCCGTTTCAGAGAAATCCTATGAATTCCCACTCTTCAAGAGGAGAAAAGGATTGGATCCTGAAGTTCTTTATGAAGCAATCCAGTGCAATGCCAATTTTGGATTTTTACAAGCCTGTTGATTTGATTGGGCATGAACAGAGAAGTCACAAGACTGCATCTCTTTTGGGGTTTCTTAATCTTTTAAATGAGGGAAGTCACAAGACTTTTTTTTTTTTCTAATTCAGATACTGATTAGTGATTAGAGCGTACATTCTTCAAAAAACACGTAGGTTTATACTTTGTTATTCAGGCTAAGCTTATAAGGTGGTCGTTTTTTACCTTTTTGAGCCTCAAAATTTGAGGATATTCAATTACATGCTTGAGCATGTGAATGACTCTTATTCTGCAATTGTAATTGGCAGTTGTTTCTGGAATCGATTCAGGATTTCAAGCTATGCTGCACTTTGTCTTTTCTTCCTTCTACTGAAAATATTCAATTTGCCATGTATGTTTTACTCCAGATTTTTGGCTTTATACTGGTTAAATTGTACTGGAACACTACTGTCAGAATGCTGAAGACCCCTTTGTTTTTTTTTTTTTTTTTTTATAAATTTCTAGCTGGGAACTTCAGCATTATTCATTGAGCAATTTCTGATTCTTTTGGATATCCATTTGTTTCATAGTGGATGATGTCTATCCTTTTTATTCATATCCAGATGATGCCTCTGTTATTTGGGGTATATCACAAGTCTTCTATTTGTCCATCTGTTTCACGATTAGATGACTTCTGTATTTTAGGGTATAAGATTTCTGTTACTGGTTCTAAATCTCCAAACAGATAGGCCCATCTTAATGCATTTTATGATTTGTTCTTGTAACTTCTTTTGTTGCTGCAACTTCTTTTTTCTTACAGGAATATCACTGTTTTCTTCTTTTGTGGAAGTTGTAGCCGCCATGAGATGAAAGACTAGTGAAGTTAGATCTTTCCTAACAAAATTGCATTCTCATTCTAAGTTTTTGGAGCACTTTTATTGACCTAAAAGCCTCTTTAAGAAATGAATGCAAAATGCAAAATGTGATTGAAAGTTGGAAACTTGAATATGAGAGCAAATTTCATTACTAAATGAGCCAATGAGCTGAGATGATATGCATACAACACATTACATTACCACAGCTGGCCTTGGCATGGGAAAAAAAAGAGTAAAAAGGAGAAAAATTAGAAATACAAAAAAACCTAAACATTGAACCTAATAAAGAATATAGTATGGTTTACAATACACTAAGAAAAAAAAATCAGGAAAAAATTATTGGGATATAGCCAATTCTCCAATTGAAAATTGTGTTCATATTTTCTCAAACAAATATCTTCTGTGGTTTGTATGGGACATTGTCTCCTATGGTTGGTGTATATATATCTGATCTCCTTTGAGACTCTTCACCAGAACTATAGTATCTTTTGTTCTTTGCATGTTTCATCATCTTTGTCATGAAGTCTGCTTAGTGGAAGAATACCAGAGCTTCTTCTGGCAAATCAATATCTTCTCCTTGTCAACACCATACTCTGTATCTTCTTTACGGCATCCCCATTTCATGCCCTTAGCTATGGCTGCAACAGCATCAACATAAAAGCTGGACTCGCGGACGATTGCATACCCGTTAGGCCGCAATATGCGATCCATCTCCAGCAAGACGTACTTCATTTCACATCTGCACATATGAAGAAGTGATAATGAGGAACAACAGAATCAGCAACTGAGTCTTAGATTATATGCACCATTTATACCATTTTCGTTTAGTATACGCAAAAGTCCAGCAACCCACAAGTTTGTAGCTGGTATTATAAGGACCAACGACCGGTGTTATAATCACGTCACATATATCAGCCAAATGCAGGCCAAACACAAATCTAACAACATAAAATTCTCCTGTATAATCTAAGACTTCATGGATTGCCATGACTTGTATATTGGCACAAGCATGCACACACATGCACAGACACAAAGAGAGCAAGGAGGTAGCAAAATGAACTCCAAATGCTTCTGCAGCTACATACAGTGGTATACTTACCCCCAAGCAATGCCTGTGTTTCAAAAGCAACGGCCGAAACTTAAACATAAAAAAGCATTACTTGAACATCAAAGAAAATCCTAACAAATACTCTTCAGAACCAGCAAAGAAGAAACAGGCCCAAGCTGTTTCTTCGAACTTATTTCAGGTCCAGATGGCTAAGAACTTCAATTATATTGCCGCATAATAGACCCACATCAACAGCAATGAAGATATGTGCAGACAACTAGCAGAAGGAATCATAAAGATGCCCATACCTGTGGCTTTCAGCAGTGAAGAGGCCATCTACATGAAGTATATCGTAAGTTCTTGGATATGTTGAAAAAGCCTCGCACCTACAAATTCACAGAAAAGTAAGTAAGAGAAACAACAACCCAGAACAAAATTTATGCTGCAATACTTGCAAACCAGGATAATACACATTTTGCTTCACACATTACCAGTCATGGTAGGTTCCAATAAGGCCCCGGTCAAACACCACAGCAAGTGTATTGCTTGCATATGAGGAAACCACATTCATCACCCACAAGGGATCATCAATCAAAGCCGCCGCAAAACCTCCATACAATGTGTTCATATCCATCACATTTCTTATCTTATCCGTCCCGATTGCAGGCAACAACTTCTTATAGTGCTTAGCTCGTGCCTTCCATTTACTATCATCATGATTGAAAGCACCATCACTGCCACCACGAACATCTGTAACACGTTCAGGAGCAACATGCAGTCTTTGGGGCCATTTGGGAATTGAGTTCAACCCTAATTTCTTGTACTTATTATCAGGAACAACAGCACAAGGCCGAAGTGGAGTGTACCAAGCTGAATCTGGCTCAGTACCATCATCGCACTTTGTTGGGTAGTTATCTGGAGAATCAAGCTTCTTGTAGCAGTTATTATCTGAAGATTTCTGCCACACAGCAATATCATCCTTCTTCTTGTAAAATGTGAAGCACATGGAAGTAAGCAATTCTTGCAATTTTTCATAGTCTGATTTCTGCTCTTCAATAGTAGTATTCCATCCTCTCCAGCGGTTTTCATAGTTCACAGGTGGGCCAGAGAGAACCCAAAAACCCCCAGGACGAAGTATACGATGTATTTCAAGAAGGTAAATTCCACCTGAAAAAAAAAAAGACACCCATCATCCAATAATGCCTTGGAAAGCATTGCAGCATTCCCTATACCTACAGCTATAAATACAGTGCTGAAGAATTGCAGTGATCAATTTTTATTGCTGAAAAAAAAAATGAGATTCCCATCATCCAATAATGCCTTGGAAATCAATGCAGCATTCCCTATATCCACAGCTATAAACACAATGCTGAAGAATTGCAGTGATCAATTTTTATTGCTGGTCAAATTAACAGACATTATTCTGTCAAACTTTGACTCTCAAATGATAGCTAGATAATTCGGGGGATTCTATATCCGAACATTTGCTTAATACTACTCACCGAATTCAGTCCATGGGATGAGGCATCTTGAGCAATGAGCCATGTCAAATGAATTTGATGGAAAAGGAAGTCTCTGTGTTGAAATGATTCCCAAAATCGCAGGAATCCCACGTTCAAGAGCAAACTGAACTTGAGCCTCGTGATTATCTCTTGGTGCAAGGGAGACTGTCAAAATATTGTGGTCTAGTAAATCACCTCCCCAGCTTGCAACCTAGAGATAGCAATGAAATTTAAAAGAATAAGAAATCAAGTCTTAACCATTTACTCGAAAATGTTGCACGAAAGCAACATGCCTAACACCTTTACAATCATTAGTTTTCTTATGTTACACTATTGTTTATTCTAGTAGATCATAACACTCCTCACCTCATCCCTACCAAAGCCCAAAAGGATAATAAAACTAGAACAGCTTCAAAACCCGTTTGTACAATTTTCTTCATCAGGATCAAAAAACAGACTGTTATACTGAATCCGAATGTAGAGGTCTTTACTTATGATCCCTAAAGGAAAAGTTAAAAGCACAGTTTACCATAGGGGCTCTGATCTCTGGACAACTTGAAGCATAAAAGTTACCGTTGAAGCAAGAAGGACTGTATCCAATTATCAGAATTAAATTACATCAACAACTTAAGAGAACATCAAAATTCCTATCGATAGACCATTGATGAAAATAATAGCTTTCCAGATATTTTATAATCCAACGGAAAAAGGGGACAATGAAAAAGGAAAAACAATATTGGTAGTGTTGGAGGTGTTGATACAGAAACCAAACACATAATAAGTATCACAGACTCACCCCACACCCAGTATCAATGGCAGTGCGGATAGTCCCATCCTTCATTCCGGGAATGAGTTTCTGCATCCGATCAACATACTCTCCAACTCCGTTGGGGAACATGGTACCTCCACCAGGAAAGAGGAACTTGTCCCCTTCTTTCTTCAGCCAATGTTGATTGGACTTTTGTTTGTTAATCCAGTCATATGGAACATTTCTAAATAGCAACCCCATTTAGGAATGTCAGAACAAGACAAAACGTTTCAAAATTTGAACTGCCAAGCAAATAGATGCAAAGATGAAATTATATCATGCACTATTACCTGTACCAACACTGATCTCGGCTCTTAGGCCATCTGATGGGCAACTTATAGCCATCTGGCGGGGGAACCAAGCATTCTTTCCTTTCAAATGCTGGAGGGCAATGCCTTTCTAGAAAAGTCAGCCTATGCAAACCATACTTCTTCCATCTCTGTTACACTAATCGTAATTAGTGTCACTCAATCAATGGAGCACAGGCAAGTAAATTTCAATTACCAGCTCCTAAAATGCTCAATAACATGAGATAGTAGTTAAAAATTTACCCTTGGATCAGTGCATGGAGTGTAGGCCTGATAATCGAGGCCACATTCAGGAAAGGAAACATCTTTTATTTGGAGAGGGCCTGCAGCAATTGACTTGGGTGATTCAATTGCATCTTCAACAGTTTCATATCTGTCCTTCTCAGAACAAAAGATTCCTCCAAGATAAAATGAAAAGCCACATAGCACGATAAACATTATTGCCATGGGAATTGTCCTTGAACTTTTATCTGGATGAGATGACGGTTTTCCATCTTTCTCCCTGTGCTTCATGATCCCAAAAATTGATCAACTAACTGCAAGTGGAAGAACAAGGGTTAAAATCAGTGGACAAGTTTCATCAGAAAATCAAAACCAAAATATAACTACACAGCCTGCTCTATCGTTGCCAAGGACTCCAAATCAACTTCTTCACTTTTCTCTTTGATTAGCAATTAGGAGGGGTGGTGGAAGGGGTGAAGAAGCTAACTGTAAGCTACTACTAGCACTAGAAACTTCCGAAGGAATTCCAGAATTTGATCCAAAGGAATTTATAGATCACAAAAATTTTCGGGCAAAAGAATAAGAATTCATTGAAAGAAAACAATTCGGTAGCTTCAGATAATCTATATGAATAGCGGAGCTGATATCTCTTTACCAATCCAGGCAATTACTTAAGTATGGAGTCTTCTAAATTAGAACCAAGAAACTGGTGCAAACAGAACCGAAACTTTACCAACAGCTCCACTTCATGAATGCAATTGACTGTCTCAAAAAAGAAAAATAGGGACTGCAGAGTTCAATGCATGCAGATCTAGTCAAAAACTAGGAGATCTGATTGCATCTACTATGGAAGAATAGAACTTTGATGTTACTTTAAAGACTTAAAATTCCACATGATATGGGCCCAAATGCCTGGCCTTTTATAAAATTCCGCCGTCCTAAAACTAACTGAGGGCCCTCTTGGCCAATAAGTCAGCAAAAGATAATGGGGAAGAAAAGGGGATGCTGAATCAATCAGTCTCACACAAACAACTCAACTAAACCATGCAAAATCCTCCGAAAGGAAGAAAAAGAAAACTACTCCTATCATATTCATTAATTGGTAGGAAAATCAAATAAAACAACATATAAACATTTACTGGTTGATAAAATCATCACTTGAAATTAACGAAAAGTTGCTACTTTCTAATGATCACTATAACCTGAATCACAAGAATTCAATCAAGACACAGGCAAAGCAAATCTTCCGACACACACCTTCCCAACTCCCAAGAATGCATAAATTTTAGATCAAAATCATGACTTTGCAGTTCATTTCCTATAAATTGCATAAAACTTTTCTACATGCATTGACATGTTAAATTTTGAAATGAAAATCAAGAAAGCTGCAAGTGTTTCTTGAAACCCAATTTTTTAAAAATCAAATCTTGAGCTATGCATTCATCTATAGTAACAGAAAACAAAGAACCAAGAATGAAAAAGAGTCCAAAACTCGATCTATTTCAGGTAATTGAGGAGATCCCTTTTCGGAAAATAGGCAAAAATTATCAATCGAAACCAAACAAACAACAAACAGGGCCATAAACAGAAGAGTGAAGGAGAAAGAACAATGCAAATGATCTGCCAGAGATCTGACAAATGATAAAGCACTAGCCAGCGAGTATAAAACAGAGCATGAAAGAGAAAAGGACCATACAATGCAGGTTCAGAGATAATCAACAAAGATGAGAAAGTACCTCTGTATTATGTATACAAGTATCTCTACAAAAAATTTCTCTATATCCAATTTTCCCTGTGCCGACTCTTGCAGAATTCTAGTTAACACTCGTAGGCTAAGAGAGATCTATATTCAGAGAGGAAGAAGAGGAGAATAAAGGCAAAGGGTCTTATTGTTTCTTATATGAAAAGTGAGAAATGGGAAAGAGGCAAAAGAGTGAAAGATATATTATATTTCTGTCCTCGGTCTCAGCCTCAGAAGAAGGACAAGAGATCAAGAAACATATCAAATTCAAGACAGAGATAGCGAGAGAGGAAGAGATGTGAACCAGGGAAAGGTGTGAAGGGGTGGAGGCCTTATAATAAGGAAGGAAAATCAGAAAAAACAATTTTAATGTTAATCTGTTTCTAAATCAATCCACTTCCAGCTATCCATTTGGTTTTTTCACATGCATGTCAAATCTTTTTCTCTTCAAATTTTAAAGAAAAAGAAAAAAACACACCATATTTTTTTTTTTTGGTCAATAAAATGTTTTTCTCTCCTCTCTGGTTTTATGCCTTGTGTCTTGCTATCTCTCTCTCTCTCTCTCTCTCCCCCTCACACACGCACACACACACACAGTAGGCTTCCTGCCTTTCTTGGTCCCTTCCGTGAGATTTCTCTCTCTGGGATGAATTGCATGTCATGATTATGATTATCAGGTGAAGTGTGAGAAAGCAAATGATATCTATTTTCTACCAGTTTACTATTAATCAGGTAGGCTAAACTCTTCTGTAGTTATCAAGTTTGTCCCTCTGGAGTTTTCTAACTTCTAAGCTGGGAAGTGGTTTTTTTGCTATTGACCAAAAAATAAAAAATAAAAAAAAGGAGAAAGAGTAGATTTTGTTAATCTTTATGGGTTTTTTCTCTCTTTTTTTTTTTTAACATTGCTTAAAGGTTTTATAATGTTTTGGGAATCTTGTTCTTCTTAGACATTACCAATTGTTTAACAGAGGTTAAGTTAGCCAATGACCGGTTTCCACGTAGGCAGTTGGAGAAAAGTGTGTGCTTTGTAGGACTAATGAAGTATAGGTAAAGCTTCAGGTGGCTAATCACGAACTGCCACGTAAGTTTCTGGGGGAAAAGGTTTAGTTAAAGCGGTATTTGTAAACGAGTGAGGTCCGCGATGAGGATTTGATGCATGGGTAAAGCTATAAAGGTCTGACCCATAGTAAATCCAAAGGCCAATTATTGGTTCTGAATCTTATAAAAAAAAAATTATTGGTTCTGAATTTTATCTTTTCTTTTTTTCTTTTCTTGTCTTCTTTTCTCCTGATTGTCAATTGCATGCATGGATAAAAGTTCTTCAATATTGTGAAATTATAGTCATGTGTCTATATATATGGGTGAGATTTAAGAAGCCGGATGGGGATAAGGGATTAAAATTCAGGATTTTCAATTTTTGGTGTTTCAATTTTAATCATTAGATCAAGATTTTCTCGATCATGCAAAATCGGTTTTGCATATTTGTATTGTCAATTAATGTGAAATCATAGTCATACAAATTTTTTTTGCTAGCTATTCAAGTTTGAGTGGTTAAAAGTTTTAGTGAAGTTGAATTTGGACGAGAAAGAAAATAATAGTGTCGATCACTCATTGTCATGGGCAATAAATAGTGAGATGATCTAGAAAAATCTAGTTGTAATTATTAAGAAGTGCACTAGATATTGTTCTTTTTCACAAAAAGGTAAAAATTTCTTTTGCAAAAGTGTTGCATTTTAGAAAATAATTCTAAAATTATCATTGTTTTTTTTTTGTGTGCTTATCATTTAACCGCAGAAATGAAAAAAAAAATCCTTATTAAAATATTTGACATGATGAAAAGACAAAAGTAAATAATTGCAAAAAAGTTTGGGTTGCTAAACACCAAACAAGATGAAAAATATTGATTTATTTTTCTTTGATGACCAAGAAAATCTCTTCCTTGAATTATTGCATAACAAAATTTATTGCATTATGAAATTAAGATATTTATACAAATTAAACATCCTAATTGAGTTGACCATAAAACATTGAAAAACAAAAATAAAATAAAATAAAATAAAATAAGGCTGCTAAGAAATTTATAGCAAAAAAGTGAGTGAGAGCCAGCCAAGTCATTGAAAAAAAAACATTTGTACTTATTATTGTTTAAGAGTAAGTTGACGCCCTTCACATGGTTTTCCTTCCACCGCTAGATTTAAGGGGCTTTCATGGAAACAGTCAACGCGGCTTTGAGTTTGACCTTGTATTGCACGTTTTCACCTCGTCGGTTGTCCCCTCGGATCTTATTTATATTCTGACAAGCGAATAAACGCTAGGGGACAAAAGACCATTACAAAGAAAGGAAATGTAATTTAATAGTATATAAGATTTTTTAATCGTCGGTGTAAGTGGAAAATCGTTAGTATGTATATTGTACTTGACTTGCTATTCTTTCGTCTTACTTTGATAGGGTTGATATTTTTTTTTGACGCAGTTTAAGAAAAGTTAAATAAATCTAACTCGTTATCTATCTAAAATGCTCTTACATTAAATGGAATAGGGCTAATTAGCTTTGCATCAACTTAGGTTATACTTAATTTTAATCTACATTAGACAAGAGTATTTTAGAGAAGTTACAAGTTAATTACATTTTTTAATTGAAAAATGCAGTATAATTTGGGATGGATGGAAAAAAGGAAAACAAACCTATCAAAATGGAATAGAGTGAGTTTTTTTTTTTTAAGGGATGGATGGAGTGATTTGGGGGATGGAATGTAAGTAAGGGGTTTTGGGTTCGAATCCTCCTATTAAAGCATAAAAAATTTAAAAAAAACTTACTATATTTTATTTTTTTTCTAACAAGAGAGGGGTGGGATTTAAAAACTGAAAAGAGGACAGAGTGATTAAAATTCAGAACCTGTATATTCTGAGGTCTCAACCTTACTTAATTTAACTTAGTATTTGAACGTGTACGCGGACATCTATTTTTCCATTAACATTTAGATACTTATCCACTTTAATTTTATTTATTAAAAAACTAAGAGCTAGTTTTGAATTAGACATATCCTCTTTAAGAGCTTTTTAGAAAAATAGTATTATAAGTTTTTTTTAAAATATGATATACATCACATAAAAAATGTGATTGAAAAATTAAAAAATTTTATCATGGTCCGCACGAACTAGTTGACAAGTCCATTATTTGATTTTTTTTAAACTAATAAAAATGCTCTAAATAAGACCGTGGAACCAACTAATTCCACATTAAACACAATACAAATAAAATTTATGGATTAGTTAAAAGAAGAAATCATGACCCCCACATTTTATGAGTCTACCAAGATGCAAAAAGGACGTTACTTGCACTAAAAACGAAGAGGAAAAAACTCATGATGAGCAGTACTCGGCACCCAAGCATTAACTTTTTATACTTAAAGCTGCTGCAGCAGTCAAGTGTCCATAGCATTAAAAAAAAGGGTTAGCAGGCCCAGCACTTAAGGGGTAGTATATTATACTTAAATTAATTAAGTACTATTGACTATTGAGAAAGGGAATCTTATATTTATTACATCCATCCACTCTAACTCTATGAGTAGTAATTTGTCGGTCATAGGCTTGTAGCATGAAGGTGTAATTCAATCCTTCCATTCAATTTCTTTTAAAGGGATAATTTCATAAACCTCTCTTGAAGTTTATGGTAATTGCAGACATACCCTTTAGGTTTAAATAATTACAGAAACCTCCATCAGAAAAATACTTTGAAGCTCACTTTGCTGATGTAAGCAAAAAATCTCCATTGAAAATCTTAAAATGCCATTGGATGATTATCCTCCAGAAAAATAAAATTCCTTAGTTATGTTAAACTCAAAACATTACTGATATACTTTTATAAAGTTCTCTAGAAAATGTGTTCCTATCTGCTAAAAACAATGTTGATACCTACTTGACCAACAAAACTAATTGAATAAGAATCTATGTGTGGAGGAAATTAAAGTTTTTATTTACTCTAAAATCACTACTATATGGAGTAAGATTGGGTTTAGGTTTTGTAGGTGTTTATAACAAGATAGAAGTTCATCACTCTTGTTCTTCTTTTTTTACTTTTTTTCAAAGCATTTACTAAATTTAATTTAAAATACATTAGTTCTTTTCATGGAGACTTTAAATTCAACATTGGATGAAGGTTAATTTTATCATTTTAAACAATGAGGGAAGGTATGTGTAATTTTTAAACTTGGAGGGCATTGCCTGAAATTGTTATAAACCTCAAGGAGGCTTGTGAAATTATCCCTTTCTTTAAATGGGGGACAAGATTGGAGCTTAGAGGGTATAATAATAGTTGCTTAAAATTAATCTAAAGTTTGTTTGCTTCATCAGGCGCCAAAATGCCAAAATGTAATTATGGTCTCTCAGTTATTGGATTACGAAAATTTTGCTTGTCGGGAAGAGAATGATAATCCTAATTAGTAGTAATTACCCCTTAACAGTAGCACAAAACAATTTAAAGAGGAAGAAAGGTTTATGTAGGGATATACCAATACTTTCTTGAATTAATTATGACTCATCCTATAGAATTTTGCATGGAAAGTCTCAAAAGATGATTGAATTGCTACTGTTTTGTTTAATAGCAATTCGATTATAACTTAATAGTCCCTTGCTGCATTTAAGAAGAATAAATTTGGAAAATTTTAACTTGTTATGTAAAATATGTATTTTGCACTTAGAAATACGAATATGTTACAAAAAAAAAAAAAAAGAAAATAAAACATGTACTGTCTAAACAGGGCCGCTAGCAAATATCTAAATCTTATAACTCAATAAAAAATAGTTAACATTAAATTAATTGCCTCTATTGTCCATGCATGTAATGCAATTATAAATTACCATTCTAAATTTTTCTTCCTCTGGATTTTGCATTAGCAGGAAATGATTGAATAATACTTCCATTAAAGGGACCATTTTGCATTACCATTCTTGTAAGTACCATTTCTTTACTTGTAATTTTCCTCTTCCAGCTGTATTTTTTTTTCCCAAAAAAATTGGCTTACTTGATAAGCCAGCATTTGAAGAAACTTAAGCCAAGGATAATTGTATTCTCCCTTCAGAATTTATCTTATTATAGCAAATTCTCAGCTGGAGTTTATGAACTTTGTCCTTATCATCCCAGAGTAAAAGGGGACAAAAGTAAGCTGATATATCAAATGGGGAAGTTTGATTTGCTTTTGGGTTATCTAACCATGTTTTATGGGCATCTAACGCAATTGCTTCTTAAGAACAAGTTCGTAAAAACAACTTCAGTTTGTACATTATTTTTGTTTTGACATTCTTAGTCTAACAAAAAAATGTT